AACCAGAGACACACTATGGGGGCGGGGCAGGGAAAGGAGGGATGGGGCCAAAATAAGGGGGGTGCAATTGTATTGTATGGGGAATATTAAAAAAAAAAGTCACACATAACTGAGAAAAAAAAAAAAAAAAGAATGTACCAGGTCCAATTCACCTGGTAGTTAGCTTGGCAGGTAGCCTATAAGTACTGTTTCTTGACCACACATCATAGAGCACAGACCCTAATGGTTGCACATGCAGCAGGCACTCCCACTTTTTTTACTTACTGGCAGAGGCTTGATATGGTTTGCATGTTCATTGTACCATGAGTTCAGGAATGTGGCACTTCCCTGCCACTAGAGGGTTAGTGTGAATTTTAGTCCAGGAAATTCTATTCTCCAGATCAATGGTTTTTAGTTTCAGGCATATGACCCAGTGTTAGTCAATGAGTTCTGGGGTGGGACTCTATTGGAGAGTGGCTGGGAAAGGTCTTTTTGTTTGAAATACCGATTCATTTGGCTAGAGGCTGAGGGAATCCACTTGTAGATGGCTAGAAATGTGACAGATATTTGGCAATCATAAGAATCAAAGATGAAGATGAAACAGAAAGATGAAGAACACCAAAGACCCTGATACATCACTGGGTCATTACAGAGTCTACTGCTGTGCTTCTAGTTACAAGAGATGATAAAGGGTCAGCTTTTAAAATGACCTGCAGCTGGATGTTGAGCCAGATATGTTCTATTTGTCCTTGCAGAGCCACTTCAGCTTTCCTGTCCTGCTCTCTACCCTGGAAGCTGATCTATGGACCACATCAGTAGGCCCCTTGTCTTCCGACTTCCACAGGGTTTGGCTAATGGGGAGCAGCAGACTAAAGGGAAGAGAGTGAGAGGCAGGCCATTTATTCCACTAGTTTGCTAATCGCTGTCAATTCAGGTTGGTTCTGGCCTTTGACTGAAGGTTACTGCTCATCTTGGAAGATGACTTTCTCTCAGGGAGTTTCCTTCCATGTTCTAGTAATTACTCCTTCCCTCTTTGGACCTAGGAGCTATTACTACTATTTGAACAGCTCTGCTGATATAAATCCCTTTACTCCGCTTTTATTCTACTTTGCAAGTAGTCCCTTTGTAAAACCCTCCTTGAGTAATCCTAATCTGGGTATGCAGGTTCTTGTTGAGATCCTGATTGGCCCTATTACTTATAGTGGAAAGCAGCCTAAGTAAAGCTAGATTCTAGTTCTTAAAACCCAGAAAACATCACAATACAGGAAATTCCAGAACCACTTCCCATTCCAGTTTCTAATGGAGTTAGTGTGTCTCTGGGTGGTGGGAGGCAGCAGTTGGAATTGGGAGGCGGAGATAATGGCACGTGCATATGTGGGTTTCTGGGTAGCAGTAAAGGAAGGAGATGAAAATCACAACTAAATAACCCTTAACAGTACATCATGTATATTTACACACATTTTTTTAATATACAATGACCATGAGGTAGGTCTCTTGATTTTCATTTTATAGATGGAGTGAGGTGAGGATCAGAACTGTGAAGTAACACCTCAAAGTTGCAGCAAGGGGGTAAACTAGGAATAGAAACAAGATCTACTAACTCAGATTCTGTGGTTTTTCTCACCAGGGCTTGTCCCTTCCTCTACAAATTAAAACTAGGAAAGCAGGATGGATTCAAAAAGGAAAGGGATGTAGAAGGGTGATCTATGGATTTATGCTGCCCTTCTTATCCTCATCTAAGATTTTTCTGAAATTCCTTTAACATCTAAGAAAAACCACATATGCTAAAAAACCCAACCCAACAGCTTGCAGTAGCCCGGGATTCCAGAATAAATAATGAAATTGGCAGGACACATAGTATCCTTCCTCTCAATGGGTCACGTGAGGACATTGCCTAACATCCGTCGTGCGTGTCTGGGAATATGCAATATTTATGTTTTCTCCAACCCTCAGATACTTACTTCTTATGCCAAAAAGAACTGCTGTGTCCTACCTTCTTCTAATCTAAAAATGTCATCAAAATCTGGTCGCAAAGACCTTCTAAATTTTTTTTTTAAGTGGAGGAGCCCTGAGTATCCTCTCAGTTGCCTAAGAAAAGCTGAGATGAAATTATGCCAAGTACTGAGTAAACGGGAGGGGTTTTTTAGTGGAAACCATAATGCTATGCTGTGGCCACATTTTCACAATACTTCAGGGGTGGGAGCTTAATCCCTTTGTGTGGATAGGCTGGGAGACTATTTCCCATTTTGTTCAGGGGAAACACAGCCCAGATTTAAAAGTCAAAAGCAAGTCATGAGACTCACTGGAGTCAAACTCTGGCATCAGTTCCAGCTGCTTCTAGGAGCTGTGCCTTCACTCTGACAAAATCACCTAGAACATGCCTACATGAAAAAAGAAAGCAAAATCCAGCATTCCACAGAACTTCAGCATGTGGCATCTCAGGAAACTTTTCCCTGAGCACATGAAGGTGACATTATTGCCCATGGGGTAATAATTAACATAGTGAAATTATCATTTTATAACCAATTACCACATTATTGGTGAAACAGCTGGTTCTTACTAATACAAAAAGATGTTCAAGGGCCTCCCCTGGTGGTGTAGCGGTTGAGTGCTGGGTTGAGAAGCTGCCTGCAGCCTCTGCAGCGCCGGTTCGATCCCTGGCCACAGGTGAGAGTCCTACATGGCACGCAGACCTCTCCTGCCGTGCCCGCTGCTCCCCTCAGCAGTATATTTCGTCAGTCTGCCTGTTCTGCTCCCCACTCTGGCTCTGGTGAATCCTCTCACCCTCCCGTGCTTCTGACTGTACCCAGGGCTTATATAAATAAGTAAATCTTTAAAAAAAAAAAAAAAAAGATGTTCAAGACCTGGTACTGGGTAGACAGAGGAAGACATCGTCTATGTGGTATCTAAAAAAGCCAAACTCTGGGCCTCCCAGGTGGCGCAGCGGTTGAGCGCTGGGCAGCCAGGCTACCCGCAGCCTCTGCAGCGCCGGTTCAATCCCCAGCCACTGGTGAGGGTCCCACATGGTGTGCAGACCTCTCCTGCTGCACCCACTGCTCCCCTCAGCAGTGTACTTCATCAGTCTGCCTGTTCTGCTCCCCACTCTGGCTCTGGTGAATCCTCTCACCCTCCCACGCTTCTGACTATACCCAGTGCTTGTATAAATAATCTTTAAAAAAAAAAAAAAAAGCCAAACTCGGAGAAACAGAGTTATGGTTACCAGAAGGTACAAGTTGGAGGGAATGAGGACACATCGGTCAAAGAGTACAAACTTTTAGTTAAAAAATTAATAGGGCCTCCCCCATGGTACAAGGGGTTAAGTCTTGGCACTATAAACTACTGGCAGCCACTGTAGCATAAGTTTGATCCCCGGTCAGGGAGCTAACCCACATGTCACAGCAGACCTCTCCTGTCTTGCCCACTGCTCCCCTCAACAGTGTATTTTAGTAGATCTGCCTGTTCTGCTCTCCACTCTGTCTCTGGTGAACCTCTCATCACCTGCACCTATGGCCTAGACCCAGTTCTTTATGTATGCATAAATAAATAAAAATGTATGCATAAATATGTATGCATAAATAAAAAATAAATCTTAAAAAATAAAAGATTAATAACTTATGAGAATTAACAAGTTAATTACAGGTATCTAATGTGGTAGTATTAGGTTGTTGGAAAAGTCATGATGCATTTTTAGATAGAAAACAGAAAAAAGTCATAACTTTTCCAACAGCCCAATACTATTGTGATGCAGCTAACAATTGTCATTGTAGCTAACAAAATGTATCACAAACTTGAATGTTGCTAAGAGAGATGTTAAGTATTCTTGCCATAAAAACAAAATGGTAATTATGTGAAGGGGTACAGGTGTTAGCTGTGTTATGGTGATAGTCAGTTTGCAATGTGTAAAGGTATCAAATTAACAAGTATATCTTTTTTTAAAAAAAGATTTATTTATTTATACAAGAACCGGGGTACAGGCCAGATGTGTGGGAGGGTGAGAGAATTCACCAGAGACAGATCGGGGAGCAGAACAGGCAGACTGATGAAATGCACTGCTGAGGGGAGCAGCGGGCAAGACAGGAGAGGTCTGCCTCACTACATGGGGCCCTTGCCGGCAGACTGGGATGGAACTGGCACTGCAGAGGCTGCGGACAGCTTCACAGCACGGCGCTCAACCACCAGCGCCGCCAGGGGAGGCCCTAACAGGTATATCTAAAACTTATATAATGTTATATGCCAATTATATCGCAATAAAGATGGGGCAAAAAAGAGAAACAGTGATGATTAAGTACAACGTAATTGCTCAATAAATGTTACAGTGTTTGTGAAAAAAAAAAAAAAAATCCATTGATATATGTGATAGGAATAAGACCTAGAGAAATAGGTATGACAACATTAACTGCTGTCTTCAGGTATTGAGTTTATAAATGATTTTTCATTTTCAAACTGATTCTTCCCTTTATAGTTTTCTATAAGACCCCTATTTCTGGTAGGCACTTTTCTACTTCAAATGGGTTACAGATGCCTTAAGTGTCCTGATTTGCCACATGACCAAAATTACTAGCATGGGCTTAGTGAAATAAGCAATGAAAAAAAAAAAAAAAAAAAAAGCTCAAAGCAGCAGGAGGTATTCCTCTTGGTTTTTTTTTTTTTTTTTTTTTAAGGAATGGTTCAAAAAATTTCTAGGATTTTCAGCTAAGACTAGCATTATCTTGGGAACAGTCAGCATCCATTATGATACACCAGTTGCATTTGGGTTTAGGAGGTGCTGAGAAGTGTTTGTTAAAATCTGATTGCACCTAATTGAGAACCAAAATAAGGTATTTCACACTTTGGTTTAGATTAAATGCTTAATCCACTCTGGTAATCCTAAATGCTTATATGTATCAACCGGATTAACAGATTTCAATTTAAAAGATAACAACACCATTCAAATTAGACTGAGAACTAGCTACAGAGGACATTCCACTTTGCCTTAGGTAGCATAAAGGAGAAAGATCCAAGAAAGTCATTTAAGGACTCACCTTGCCAGCAAGATCCCCTGGTACTCTTCCAGTTGTCTCATGAAGCTAGGGTTGGGCTTGGTCACTGTGCGTCTCTCTTTCACGTAGTCATAGGCACGGTCCAGATTCCAGCCATATTCCTTCATTGCATAGGCAATCACAGTAGAGGCTGAGCGACTCACCCCCATTTTGCAGTGCACAAGGCATTTAGATCCATGTTTCCTAGTTTGGGGAGGGGTGCATTGAGATAAAGAGGAAAACACAATAGCAAGAATATTTTAAAAGTTAGGTTCTAAATGTTTCCAAGTTTTTCTTGTCCTGCCTTCTTCCATTTTCATGGTATGCAATCCATCCCACTTTAGTGTACACCAGGACATATTTTGAAGGAGGGTATTCTTGCCCTCTGAGGATGGTAAGCAATTCAAAAGTAATATTTAGCAATATTCAGTGTTAATAATATTAAATATCTTTAGTTCACTCAGCAGACATTTATCACATGTAAAACAGTGTGCAAGGTACTGGGATGTAAAGATAAGTAACAGTTTTACCCTGGTGGAAGAATCAGACAAAATTCAAAATGGTAATCATAGTGACAGTTGGTTACAATGTGTCTCAATTTGAGACGTTAGTCTCAATTTTCAATTGAAAGCTTGGCCTCCATTTTGTGTGTGGTTGGAGGTCTGTCCCTGTTAGCCCTAGAGGTGTGCTTTATGGTTCACACACTCTTGAGTTATAGGTGTGGCAGTGACTCATCCAGTTTATCCAAATGTTCTGAGTTGCTTCCAGTTCAAGTTCCAGTAAGGGTTCTGTCCCTGGAGGAAAGCACAAATCAGATGACAACAACCCTCCATTCCTCTCTGTTCAGATGCAGCCCTGGATATTACTTTTCACAACACCATCACCAGTGCACCATTATGTAGGGCTACACAACTGGAGACGAGGGATGGGACTATGAGCTGTACTAGAGGCTTTCTCAGTGAGGAGACAGAATGAACAACTACCTGTTTTCTTGTTTTTAAACAGGGTGCACTATGGTGATGGTGGATGGGTAAATTGGTGGTAGAAATTCTATGGGGACTACACCTGAGAAAAGAAAGCAAACACCAAAAAAAAAAAAAAAAAAAAAAAAAAGGAACAATGATGTACATTAAAAAAATATTTTTAATAAAGTGATAAAAAGAGGGCCTCCCCTGGTGGCACAGGTGGTTGAGCGCAGCGCTGTGAAGCTGTCTGTAGCCTCTGCAGTGCTGGTTTGATCCTGGCCGACCGGCCAGAAATCCCACATGGTACATCAGACCTCTCCTCTCTTGCCCGCTGCTCCCCTCAGCAGTGTGTTTTGTCAGTCTGCCTGTTCTGTTCCCTGCTCTGTCTCTGGTGAATCCTCTCACCCTCCCTTGCATCTGGCCTGTACCTCGCTTCTTGTATAAATAAATAAATAAATCTTAAAAAAAATAGTGATAAAAAGAAATAAGGTGAATGAGAAAACAGTAAAAAATCCCCAAAAAACCATGCCAGTTTTTTAAAAGATTTATTTATTTATTTATTATTTTTTATATTCTCCATACAATTACAACCCCCTTATTTTGACCCCAAGCCCTCCTTTCCCTGCCCCCTCACCCGTCATAGAGTGTCTCTGGTTCATAGTTGTTTGCCAATTTTGATATTTTCTTTCTTTTTTTTTTTTTAAAAGATTTATTTATTTATTTATACAAGCACTGGGTACATACAGTCAGAAGCGCGGGAGGGTGAGAGAATTCACCAGAGCTGGAGCGGGGAGCAGAGCAGGCAGAAGGACCGAAGTACACTGCTGAGGGGAGCAGCGGGTGGCAGGAGAGGTCTGCGCGCCATGTGGGACCCTCCTCCAGTGGCCAGGGAGCAGCCGGGGATTGAACCGGCGCTGCAGAGGCTGCGGGCAGCTTCACAAACCAGTGCTCAACCACTGCGCCACTGGGGAGGCCCAATATTTTCTTTCTTATAGTTATTCTTTTTCCTGGTCCCTTATTTAAGTTTTCTAGATTTCTGCTATGAGTGAGACCATCCGGTATTTTTCTTTTTCTTTCTGGCTTATTTCGCTGAGCATGATCCCTTCCAGCTCCATCCATGTTTGCTGCAAATTGCATGTGTTTATCTTTTTATACAAGAATTGGGGTACAGGCCAGAGATGCGGTGGAGGGGTGGTAAGAGGATTCACCAGAGACAGAGCAGGGAACAGAACAGGCAGACGGACGGAAGTACACTGTTGAGGGGAGCAGTGGGCGAGACAGGAGTGTTCTGTCCCGCCCTGTGGGTTTCTCCCTGGCGGGCCAGGAATCGAACTTGTGCTGCAGTGGCTGTGGATTGCTTCATAGGTTGTGTCTTAACCCCTGCGCCACCAGGGAGGCCCAAAACCATGCCAGTTTTAACATGCCAGAGTTTATTACCTTGAATATATACATTCGGTTATGCTAATTCTGCTAATAATAGTGTTTGGCACAGAGTAAGCATTCACATATTTGCTAAATGTATGAACAAACCTAAAAGGACCTGCTGATTAAAACTTTAGTTATAAGTAGGTACATTTTAAGATCTGGAAAAAACAATGGTCACTCTTATCACTAGCATATATGGGTTGGAACCCTTCTCAAGTGGCTATTCCAATTTAAAAAAAAAATGCACATCTGCCCAACAGGGGAAATCTATTCATCCACTCACTGTATCACAGTAGACAAATTTCCTTACAGAAGTTTATAATCCTTCTGCTGAAGATAGACACATGAAAGAGTTAAGTACTAATGCAAGGAGGCATGAGGTTAAGTACCAAAACCAGAGTCAGATAAACTATAGGAATGCAGAGAATGGTTTGGAATAGCTGAAACAGTTTCAAAAGGAAAGTAAGATTAACTTGTTAATTAGATACAAAATTTTGGTGTCCTAAAGTTCATGTGGATGTGTGTCTTTGTGTGCTTACATTATCCAAATGACCAAGAAATACTTGTTTTTCTTATAGTATCATAGGGTTTTTCATTTGGATTACAGTTGGGAAGCCAATACACAGTGACGCAGATGGAAGTTCAGACATGTGCTCTGTATTGTCCCACCAAGCTCTGACAACTTTAACCTCATGTTTTAGGTCTCTACCTACAGGCATGAAGGCATTGCTCAAACGTGAACAATTCTAAGAAAAATACAATCATGAAATCCACTCCCACAAAACATTTCATTATTTTGAACCAGGTTTTTTCAGTGGGTGGCTTCTAACTCAGGCAATGAAGGATCTTAAGTCAGTCTCAGCTAATCCAATTTCACCTTTCAGTATCAGCACTGCCTTCCATGTGCTGATTAATTCAGATTAAGCTATAATCACATTAAGGGCCTCCCCTGGTGGCACAGTGGTTGAGCGCTGGGTTGCGAAGCTGCCTGCAGCCTCTGCAGTTCCGGTTCGATCCCCGGCCGCAGGGCGAGGGTCCCACATGGCACACAGACCTCTCCTGCCTCCCACTGCTCCCCTCAGCAGTGTATTTCGTCACTCTGCCTGTTCTGCTCCCTGCTCTGGCTCTGGTGAATTCTCTCACCCTCCCGCGCTTTCGACTGTGCCCAGTGCTTGTATAAATAAATAAATCTTTAAAAAAAAAAAAAAGCTACAATCACATTAGAATCCTAAAGTAGGGCCTCCCAAGTTTGGTGCAAGGGGTTAAGACACAACCTATGAAGAAATATTTCCAAATACTATAGCAGTAGGCCTCCCTGGTGGCACAAGGGCTTAAGTCTCAGCACTATGAAGCTATCCGCAGCCACTGTAGCACAAGTTTGATCCCCGGCCAGGGAGCCACCCACATGGCGCAGCAGACCTCTCCTGACTCGCCCACCTGCTGTTCCCCTCAGGGGTATATTTCTGTCGGTCTGCCTGTTCTGCTCCCCAATCTGTCTCTGGTGAATTCCCTCACCCCCCACACCTCTGGCCTATACCCCAGTTCTTGTATGCATAAATAAATAAATCTTAAAAAGAATCCTAAAGTGATCCATTTTTAGGTAGGGTCTGGAATCCAGGGCCCTAATTAAGGTGACACACATGAGGTTCCCAGGGTGCCATTTAAGAAGGTATTCGTTCTCACATGCTGCCCTATACTTGCAGGAAAGTGAGTGCCTGCTTAAATGTAATTTAGGTGTCAGTCCTGCTGAAATCAGTTTTCTGTTGGGATTGGGGTGGGGGGTGGTCTCAGTTTACTGTGTGCCAAACACTGTATTATGAATAAAATTAGTATTACCTAATGTTTACATTCAAGGTAATAAATGCTGGTTTGTTAAGACTCAAGTCATTTGAGTCAGATTGTTGGGATCACAGCCTCCCTTTTTTTATTTCCAGTTCCCTTTCCTTAAGGAATTAGACTTTTCCCATATATTGATGGACTCTGAAATGAGATACTATTTTACATCCTATTTTCGTCTCTACAGTCCTCATCTGCACAGAAGGGTGACAGTATTGTCACTGGGTTTTGGAAATTATTACATGAGAGAATACAGGTAAAGTATCTGGCACACAGTAAGCAAGCCATGAATGGTATTATTATTGAGACTATTTTAATATTAGGCTTCAAGAATCTAAAATACTCTTTCCATGGTTGGCTCGAGACTGAAGGAATGGGCTCAAAGCTAGAATATATGGATTCAGGGTAACTAAGAAAAGGAATTTCCAGGCCAGGAAGGCACTTGAGAGAAGTGTGGAATTATTCTTGAAGGAGGACTTTAAAAATGAAAGTGTTTCTCATTTGCCAAAGATGATTTGAAAGCGGTCCCACTTTCAAAAAAAAAAAAAAGGGAACATGGAAAACACACTCATTTATGATTCCCTATATTAAAGGAATAAATGGGAGTGTCAAGGTAACCCCCAGGGACTTAAAAAATCAGTATTGACATAATACTAACACTAAATTAAATTATTAAATAGTTTTACTGAAAAGACCCACAATTCAAGGAAGATAGAATGGCTAAAGAATAGAATGGCTAAAGCAATAGAATGGCTAAAGCAATAGAATGGCTAAAGAAAATTCCATGATTCAGAGTATCACAAAAATAAAGTAAAACAATGGGAAAAGATTTCCAAAATTCACTGTTTCTTTTCTCTCACTTTCTTCAGAGAGGAGCTTGTATACTTCCAATTTAAATTCTGTTATTATTTTATAACTTTCAAATGTCCCCAGTGGCAATGTAAACATTTCTTTTAGAATTTCTTCCTTTTCTTATTTCTATTTTTTTTCCTGCAGCTTAAGTTTATTTTCTCTAATTTTGTGCTTAAAGGACATAGCCGACATGAGGTCATCATCTTTCAGGGGGGTTTCATTTAGAAGAAAAGTATTAACCTACTATTCATCTTTCCCCTAGTATTAGGGAATCTCAGTTTCTTGCTTCCTTTACTTCTTTAGGAAGTTATTTATTTCTCTCAGCGTCCAGCCATGAGTTTTACATAAGGAACAGGGATCAGTGTATGTGTTTAGGACCATTACTCACTTTGCTTTAGAGATGAATTTGTAAGTGTCATTCCAGTAAGCCAGGAGATCTGTTGCCTCTTCATCATATACCCGGATGTTATGATACTCAAAGACTCCTGGGAAGAAGTTATCTATCTCTCGAGTGACGTTCAAGATATACCGCACCCTGCGAGGAAATCGAGGGAGAAAGACTCAGGTGAAATCCAACTCACAGCACTGTTTTTCTTATTTAAAACTTGTTTACTCCATAGCTGTGAAATAAATACTAAGAAACTAATGGCAACACTTAGTGTAGAAGCTGTGTAAGAGGGTCTTGGGTATACCAGGGCACCAGAGAGTCACTGCGAATGAAGTTGTCTACCAAGTTCAATACCTAAATTCCATTTTCAGTTTCTGTATACTTATAAAATTTTATTTTTGAGTCTTTTGAAACTATGCTTCATATTTTACTCCAAAATCAACCCCAAGCCCAAGATCTGACCATTTTTCTTTAGTGACTAAGATTACCGGTAACACAATTTATTCTTTGAAAGTCATTTGTTTTAAATCAGATTACTGACATGTACCCTCAAGTAAAAAAAATCAGAAAAGGGAAAATTTTCCTCTATCTTTCTAAATGCCAGTTTGTCAGATTTTGCTCTCTTAGCCTTCAGATTACATGAAAGACAAATGAACCAGAGCTGGGAGCGTCAAAGTAAACTTGGACTTAAAATCTAACTCTATCTAGGTTACATTCTTGGCTGCTATGGCAAGGGATGTGTCTGAGATTTCTCCCATATTGAGATGCTTGCAAAAAAGGGTTTATGTATCAAAACTTTCTCTGCTATCTCTCTTTACTGCACATTCTGAATAAATGCTCAGATTTAACTTGCCAAAGGATTATCTTTTCTCAGTGTTTTGTGGACTCAAACATCAGTGGAGTTTTCCCCAACAATGCAACAGGGCCTCACTCATTTCTCTCTGTAGAAGCTGCTTCCTTCTCAGAACCACTTTTACAAACCCAAAATCTGAAGTCAAAGAAATAAATACAGAAAGGGAGAGCCCTAGTTTAGGGGTTAAGGTCAACAGGTTCAAGTTTTTTTCTGGGACATTATTTAAAACTGTTTTAACTTAGCACCAAAGTCCATTGCTAGAAAGGATTTTTTTTCTTTTTAATTTGAAAATCAAGTAAGTACATGGAACCGTGAAGAACAGTTCTCATGTAGCAGTTTCCTAAAAGGTTAAACATGTAATTACCATAGACCCAGCAATTCTTATCCTAGGCAAAAACCCAAGAAAAATGAAAACACAAGTTCACTAAAAATATTCATACATAAATGGTCATAGCAGCATCCATAATATAAAAAAAAAACCCAAATATCCATCAGCTGAGGATGAATATAGTATTTATCCATAAATTAAATATTATTTGGAAAAGAAAAGGGCACTTAAGTGTCACAAGTTACAACATTGATAAACCTTAAAAATATGTCATGTGAAAGAAACCATTCTTAAAAGACTACATATTGTATAATTCTACTTGTATAAAATATCCAGAATAGGCGAATCTATATATAGAGAAAGCAGATTTATAGTTTTTAGGGGCTGGGGAAAAGAAGGGAGGTGGGGTGAATGCTGAACGGTTGTTAATACACTTAAAAGCCAGTGAAAATACATTTTAAATGAGTAAATTGTAGGATATATGAATTATATCTCAATAAACTGTTACGAAAAAAAGGCAAGCATAACACTCTAATTTTATTTAGAATAAAAATGAACAATATCCCATCTCCAATTCCATACTTTAGTAATGGATCTTGGCAGGACACAGTTTCCCAATTTTTATCATTACAGAGCTCCAAGCAGTCACCTACTGGAATTGACACTCATGGAAACTTCTGCCATCCCTATATGATGTAGCATTTTACATGGAGTTCTAAAGTCAGTTGATTGTGGAAAAAAGGCCTTATTGTCAAAATTACAGTTGAAATCCCTTAAATCATCAAGATTTAGTATATGTGTTTTTTTTTAATTTTTTTAAAGATTGATTTATTTATTTATACAAGCACTGGGTACAGTCAGAAGCATGGGAGGGTGAGAGAATTCTCCAGAACAGGGAACAGAACAGGCAGACCAACAAAATACACTACTGAGGGGAGCAGCGGGTGCGGCAGGAAAGGTCTGCGTGCCATGTGGGACACTCACCGGGTGGCCGGGGATTGAACCAGCACTGCAGAGGCTGCGGGCAGCTTCGCAGCCCAGTGCTCAACCCCTGTGCCACTAGGGGAGGCCCCGTTTTTGTTTTTGTTTTTAACAGATCCCTTAACTGTAATTATTTAACCACTAAGTTTAAGAATCAGTGAATATCAAAGATGTAAGTATAAGTCAGCATAGAACCATACTGTTTTTAAGATAAATAAAAGCAACTGTGTTTGATAATTTAGCTTTTTAAATAGTCAATGATATGTCTCACCTCTAGCTGGGGTTATAAATCAGAAGTCACAGTCTATGTCAAGCACAAAGTGATTCTAATACATTTGGCAAACACTGCTATATCAAATTAAACATTCTATCTAGATGCTGGTTTTCCATAATGATGGAATTTTTAAAGCCTGATGACTTAGGAGATTGTCAAAATCTTTACCCCACCCCCAAATAAATCTTAAGCAGAACCCCCGTATATAAAGAAGATAAAAGATGTCATTACTCTGGCTCATCTAGAAATCCTCATACTCAGAGGAACCTTTGTTTATTTTGATTAATTTTTATTAAGGTAACATTGGTTTTCACTATATGTGATTTAGAGGAACAGGTTCATGCCTCATCAGGTGTATGTCCCACAGCACACCCACCACTGAAGCACCCACAGTCCTTTATCACAGACCATTGGGGTCCCCTTCCCCAGAAGGGGAGCTTTCAAGGATCCTAATCAGAAAATAACTCATCTGGGATCAGGCTTTCTAGGTCCAAATAGGGAAAACGGCAGACACAGGATTAGGTCTTTTGAATTCCCAGCTTCATTTACTAATTGATTTCCTCCCTTTCTTAACTGGCAAGTCACAGTCCTCACATATGTCAAGTTTTCCATCTTTCCTCCACATTTACTGAGTGCCTTCCTGGTATAAAGTTCTGAGGTAGACATGACTAAGACAGTCTCTGCATTCAAGAATGCTAGACCCAAGGCTTATCAATTAAAAACTTTCAAGTTCTGGGCCTCCCTGGTGGTGCAAGGGTTAAGACGCCACTTAGGAAGCTATTCACAGCCTCTGCAGCATGAGTTCGATTCCCAGCCAGCCAGGGAGCAACCCACATGGCACAGCAGACCTCTCCTGACTTGCTTGCTGCTTTCCTCAGCAGTGTACTTTGGTCAAACTGCCTGTTCTGCTCCCCACTCTGTCTCTGGTGAATCTTCTCACCCCTGCATCTCTGGCCTGTACCCCAGCTCTTGTATTCATAAATAAATAAATCTTAAAAAAAAACAAACTTTCAAGTTCTATTATTTATTTTCTTATCTTAAATTAAGTAATCCACCTCCACCTACCCCTCCTCATCCCCCTCAGCCCTGAACATTTTGTGTAATTATTTGGCTTAAGCCCTGTTCCAAGTTCTTTTTAGCAATTATGACATACCTTTCTTCTGGGGGAAAAGTTAAAGATAACCAGAAAACTGACTTGTAGCTGAGAAAACAAGTGGTTAGCAACCAGTCAGGAATCCATCATTATCTCTCAATCTTAATAGGTCTTATATTTGTCTACAATCAAGAGTTAGCAAAGCCAGTTTCCATACATAATTTTCTCTTGATGACTTGACCACGTTCAGTGAAAAACTTAGGAATTAAGAAGTAAAAAGCAGAAAGTTTTTGCTTTCTAAAAGTTCACATACACTGTGGTCTCAATTGCTACCATCAGGGCCTCCCCTGTGGCGCAGCGGTTGAGCACTGGGTTGCGAAGCTGCCCGCGGCCTCTGCGGCGCCTGTTCGATCCCCGGCTGCTCCCCGGCCACAGGAGGAGGGTCCCACATGGCGCGCAGACCTCTCCTGCCGCCCGCTGCTCCCCTCAGCAGTGTACTTCGGTCCTTCTGCCTGCTCTGCTCTCCGCTCTGGCTCTGGTGAATTCTCTCCCCCTCCCGCGCTTCTGACTGTACCCAGTGCATGTATAAACAAAACAAACAAACAAATAAATAAATAAAACATGCCTCTAGAAAAATTAAAAAATTAAAAATCAATTGCTACCATCAAACCTAAATTTAGGGATACATTTCTTAACACAAGGTAGGTCTTGTTAAATTTCAGAAACTTGTCGCTTTTACATTTATAATCTATTTAGTCTTCAAGCAGCTTACTAGAAAAGGATATGGACTGAGTCTAATTTATCTTTGGGTCCCTAGCATCTAACTTTGTGCTTGGCCCATAAAAGATACTTGATATATATTGAATGAACAGCTCTGTGAACCCAACATATGCAGTACTCTTACATAAAAATAACAACCAAGGACAAAACTATGAAGATAGTAAAAAGATCTGTGGTTGTCAGTGTTTGGGTGTGGGGGAACAAGTGGCCAGAGCACAGTAGGATTCTTAGGTCAGTGAAAATACGCTGTAAGATAGCATAATGACAGAATGCTATTATACATTTGTCCAAATCCACAGAATGTACAAGTGTGAATCATAACATATCTATGGACTTTTGATGATTATGACATGCCAGTGTTAAGTTCATCAACCGTAAAAAAATGCATCACTCTGGTGGGGGGATGATGATAATGGGGAGTGGGAGGGGACAGTCTGCATTTGTAGGGGTACAGGCATATGGAAAATCTCTGAACCTCCTCCAATTTTGCTGTGAACCTTAAACTGCTCTTAAAAAACAAAATAAAAACCAATAACTGCATTTGGCTTTAAATAGCACCAAAAATTTGCACATTTGTTTCTGAAAAAACAAAGTCCACTGAAACAGTTGGTCTTTTTTTGGGAAATAGGGGGATGAAACAAAGGGAGAACAGACATTTTAATTATTTACATTTGATTAGATTCAACTGGAAGAAACTCTTAAGCTTAGCAATTACTGTGTACTTACCCTCGGTTCTGTAAGTCCTCTAAGTTAGAGGCATTCCACTCTGAGCCCTGTGGAACCAAAGAGACAAGGTTAGGGAGTATTAGCAAATCAACTAAATATAAAACTTGAAAAGGAGTCCTGTAAGGGAAGAAGCAGAATTTCTAACAAGAAGATCAATAACATCTGAGTTTCCTCTCTGCGTGCTTGGCACTTACATTAGTTTTCACAAATGACAGAGTAAGATTATCATCTTCATTTTTACAGATAAGAAAACCAATCCTTATAGAATTAGAGTAATTTTTGCTGAAGATCACATTGCTGGAGGTGTCTCTTACCACCCTCCAAGTTAGATACTTGTCATCCTTTTTCATATTACTGTGATTTTTTTCTTGATAGCATATAGCAAAATTTGTATTTACATGTTAATGTGCTTATTTAATAACTCTGTGCTTTACCATAAAATGCTTCTTGAGAGGAGCCAGGTGTCTTGTTTCCTATGGAAACCACTGCACAATACCTGGCATCTGGCAGGTATACAATAAATATTTGTTGAATGAACAAAGTGGCATTATTATGAATTAAACTCAGATTTCATTCTAAATTTCACACTCTTTCTAGTGCATTGTGTTGCAGCCACGGAACTGGAGTGTGTGTGTGGTAAGGAGAGAGGGAAACAACAGCTCTGTCAAACAAATGAGGGAACCGTAATATGCAAATTTAAAGAAGGGGGTTCAATATTGTCTGGGAGATATTTCAATTGTTAACCTTTCATCACACTTGCTTTCTTTTTCCTTCCCTTTCCTTTAATGCTTTTTCCTCTGAACCATTTGAAAGTAATTTTAGCCACTGTGGCATTTCATTTCTGATCTTATAACATTTAACAACAAGAACAGTCTCTGACATTATTCCATTTTTACAACCAAGAAAGATAACAGTCATCATTCATATTTGAATTTCAAAAGTTGTTCTCAAAATGTCCTTTATTATATACACTCAGTCAAGGATCACACTTTGCATATAGTTACCATGTTTCTGCCACCTTTAATACAGAACAGTGCACACCTGCCTTTATTTAGTCTTTCATGATATTGACATTTTTGTAGACTACAGGTCTGTAATCTTGGAGAATTCCCTACAATCTGAATTTGTCTTGACTGTTTCCTAAAGGTTAGCTTTAGGTCAAACATTCATGGTAAGATTATTACAAGAGTGATGTTGTATACTTCCTAATGCATCATGAGGTATATAATGGCAGTTTGTTCCATTATTTGTGAAGCTGAGTTTGAATTCTTGGGTACCTTTGTGTTTGTCACATTGCTCCATTATAAAGGTTCCTTTAAAATTAGTAATCTTTGGGCCTCCCCTGGTGGCGCAGCAGTTGAGCACTGGGTTGCGAAGCTGCCTGCAGCCTCTGCAGTGCCGGTTTGTTCCCTGGCTGCTCCCCGGCCACCGGAGGAGGGTCCCGCATGGCGCGCAGACCTCTCCTGCCACCCGCTGGTCCCCTCAGCAGTGTACTTCGGTCCTTCTGCCTGCTCTGCTCTCCGCTCTGGCTCTGGTGAATTCTCTCACCCTCCCGCATTTCTGACTGTACCCAGGGCTTGTATAAATAAATAAATAAATAAATAATAAATCTTTAAAAAAAAAAAATTAGTAATCTTTGAGGCCATGTGGCTATCCTGTTTCATAAAAGTCTTACATCTTCAGCATCAACTGATAATTTTGCCCAAATCAATTATTTTAGTGGAGGTTTCTGATCCCAGTATTCCTTCTGTATGTCAGCTGGCATCCTTCTGTAAAAGGGAGCTTCACCTAATTAATACTCCCCCGCTTTATTTGAGAGTCTCTATGGACTTTGGAATTCTTTTTGTATTCAGTATGTTATAATCCATAACCACCACTATTTTGTTTTACTTTATTTTTTGGACACTCAAGTTGTCCTGACTTTGGCCAGTGAAAATCTCATCAAGCAGACTCCTTTTGATATGATCCCATTAAAATCTTTGCACACTCTCTTGATTTCTACACTTGATCTTAGCCAAAAGGCCAAGAAGCGATGCACACTTTCTTGCGATACACAACATTTCTATTCAAAAAGTTGTTCCAGATTCACTTTATAAATGAAAGCAGGCATTTCCCAAGGAGTGCTGTTTTTTGTTAGTGAAGAATAATATTTTGTAATCAAGATCTGGGCATTAACTATTAATAGATACGCTCATTACTACTAGGTGTCATTACTTCTAAAACTTTTCAGTGGACAGATCTAGGAAACCTTTCTAAAAAAATATTATCTTATATTGATACCTCCAATTCAAATCCAACACCACAAGGTTATTCCTTTTTTTCCTTCCCATCTTCCATCATTTTTTTATCTCCCTACTTTACAGTGAGTATCTTGGCTCCCAACAACTCAATCCCTTTGCTTATAAAATAGTTTCAACATTATTATACTATTATCACAATCAATGGTAAACCTATTAAATTCAAATTTTCTTTGCAATTCCTTTTTTCTTGATTATATCCCATGAATGGGTACAATCATAGTATTATTTTTAATCAGAGTATTATGTCTAAAACTTATTTGAATTAATTTATTTGTGTGGTATCAATTTAACATACATTTGGGTTTATTTGCTCCTGTTTGTGTTCAGCTTTAGAGTATGCTTTGCCATTATTTTCTATTTGAGTTTTTGAATATGTAAAACTTTTACATAGTATATTGAAAGTAAGAAAGTTTATTAAAAAAATTCAGTCTCCCACCCTCATATCTTCTTCAACCCTCCTGTGTAACTATTTTTTATTAGTTTCTGACTTACTCTACCTATGTTCTATTTTGAAAAAATATAAACAAGTACATATTTATTACTTGTTACACAAATGTAATATATTAACACAAATGTAATATATTAATATTTTTTAAAAAAAAATTTATTTATTTATACAAGCACTGGGTATAGTCAGAAGCGTGGGAGGGTGAGACAATTCACCAGAGCCTGAGTGGGGAACAGAACAGGCAGACAGATGAAACACACTGCTGAGGGGAACAGTGGGCAAGGCAGGAGAGGTCTGTCGCTCCATGTGGGACCCTCGCCGGCGGCCGGGGATTGAACCAGCACTGCAAAGGCTGCGGGCAGCTGCGCAGCCCAGTGCTCAACCGCTGCACCACCAGGGAAGGCCCACTAATGTATTTTTTTTTAGCTCTTTGCTTTCTTCACTTTATAACATAGTCTCAAAACCACTCCACATCACAGTCAACAGAGATCATCTTCCTTATATCTGCATAGTAAGTAATTCACTGGTTAGTGATGTAATAGTTTTTTCAACTATAGTCCTATGAATGATGCTTCATACTTGTAGAAGTAAAAGTAAGACTGCATAGTTTTCTTAGACATTGCTCAACTCCATTCGAGAGAGGTTGAGACATTTCTGCATGCTCAGCAGCAATGCATGCACGTGTCACTTTCCCCACAGCCTTACCAACAAAATGTATGGCTAAACTTTGTTTTTGTCATTCTGATGTGTGAAATGTTATCTAATTATAATTTCAATTTGCATTTTTCTTACTATAAAAGGGTTGCAGAGTCAAAAAAAAAAAGGATTGCAGATTCAATGTCAGGTCTACTTCTGTCTTTGAGCAATCTGTTCATGTCTTTTGAACAGATTAGAAATTAATCTGTTAATCTAATCAAAAATTAAAATTTACCTATTTCAGAATCATGCATTAAATGTAATTTAGCATTAGCAGATTTGGGTTCAAGTTCTAACTCTCCCTCCTACTGTGGGGTCTTGGGCAAACTGTTTAACCTCTCTGTCCTCGCTTTCCTTATCTGTAAAATGGAAGGCCTCTCTTACCTTAATGCTAATCATTGAATGGATACTTTCTCTTCAAATTATGAATTTATAGCTTCTCACATATTAAAATGGAAAAACTGTTTCTTCATCCTGAATTCTCCTCTACAAACTATCCTTTTCCCTTTCTTTCATAACCAAGATTCACAGAAATAAAAGCCAATACTCACTTTCTCTAGTTCCTTATTTTCCATGTCTTAACTCATAGTTTCTGCCTTCATCACTCTAATGACCTCTCCTAATTGTCTAGTCCAGGGGTGACCTTGGTATCCTTATTCCACTGGCTTTCTCTGAGTATCTATCTGATACTATTCATTACTCCCTCTTTATGGAATTAGATCAGAATGTACAAATATCTAGCTTCATGCATTGCACAATATAGTGGATCAACTAGTGTTTGTTGACTGAATGATAAAATGAGTTAAGTAAATTAAGCACTTGGAAAATTGTCAAGTGTTATGCATGCACTATCATTGTATTACAAGTGGTCTATTTGGACACTGAACTGGGAGATATGAAGGTTGCTGTGCTGAAGTTCCATTTAGGAAAAGATCAGTAAGTGATAGACAACTGATCTTTCCTACAGATGAGGGTTCAACTAACTTTCAAAGAATATGGGAAGTTCTGAAGGCTCTGTGCTCAGAACCTTTGAGAAAATCAGCTTTCCTATGGCAAAGAAAGATGCACAGACTTCAAGGAGACAGAAGCCAAGCAATAGGGCTCCGTTGCTAAACTGCTACCAGGGAAATGCGACCACCTCAATTCTTCATTTAGAAATCAAGATCTTCTGCTGAACTCTGTCTACTTAGATGGATATACCTTAGATATGATGAAAAAAGTACATGGTTTTCATCTACCTGTCCACCAAGAATTCAATTTGATAATCTGAAGTGACATATGCAGAAATAAAGTAAATTAAAAGAACTGGCTACTGACTCAGTGAAGTCTGTATAAATTGACTTGGGCTATGGTTAGGGCTGCTTCAAGTTCAACCAGAAAGCAACTGGACGTCACCATGATATAATTACTTTCCTGCCTCAACACAAATGCCAAGTATATTACTCCCTAGAGGCCCTTCACTGATACAACCTCTACTCCCATGGTTCTTGGGCTTACAGTGACATAATTCCATGGGAATTTTTACCATGTTCAATGTAATTATGTAAAGCATATTATAATTTTACTTAGTGTAAAATGAAGTCTTGATACTATGATACATTTTTAAAGTAAATTCATTTCCATCTTTCACTCTGGTTCTCCTACACTGTAGCCTGGTCCAAAGACCCAAGTAACTGATTTCTTTGAAAATATTATCCTCAGGAAGTAGCCTTGCTGAGGTTCAACTGTCCAAAATAGAGGAGGAGAGCACATTTATGGCAAATGAGAAGGACTATACTGAGGGTTCTGCTAAGATCAAGATGACCTGGCAAAATGTCCCAGGACTGTATCCCTATCCATACTTTCTTCATCATACCATATCACTAGTTCAAGGCTGTGAGTCATAAGCTCTCTATTCACTTTTTCTTCTAAGAATAGTTTTTGCTACACATCTCCAGTTGAGGAGCTATTTTAATTGTATGGATAATTTTTGTCCATTTGATCATCCTCATCTATTTACATATTCTCTATTTCTCTGATTCTAACCACCAATTTGAGGCTTAATTTTTCTTTGAAAACACTATTCCAAAAGAATTTACAATGTCAAATCTTGAAAAAGATAATAATCAGCAGTAAAAATTGGAACTACCTTTTTATCCATGAACAAACTTACTGGTTGTGTTCAATATTCCTGTGCTTCCACTTAGGCAGTTAAGATTAAGGTAAGGTGCCTGCCTTTCTGCAAAGTCTCTCTGGTCACATCTAGCTTTTTCTCAGCCAAATTGGACAGCCTCCAGGAGAGCTGTTCATATTGAGAATTGGTTGGGCAAGGATTTTCGGCTCAGTGAGGTTGTAAACTCTCCAGGTGTGGAACAACCTCTTTTTCTGGAAACACCCTGACTTCCAACCAATCATGCTTTTTTTTTTTTTTACTATAGATTTTCTTTAAATTATACCTACACTTTTTCTCTCCATACCAGTGGGACACCTTTCCAAATAAACATCTCTGTGCAGTGGACTGCAACATTCTTCCAAACAGAAAGGAGATGATATCCTGCTGTCTCCCTTCATATAACCGGCTTGCACTATAGGCATCACAACTACGCACAAGATGAAATGACTTTGCAGAAAATTAACACCACCACTTGCAGCTCAGATAAGACCTCTTTTTCTGTGTCAGCTTCTGGGAAAGTCAGCAGAGCACAGACTCATTGGAGAAGAGACAGCTGTTTGGACAGAGGATATGTTGGTGTAAACAAAGGGAGGAAGCCATCAAGGAAGAAGTACAATAGGATGTTTAGAAAAATTTCTATACACTTATTTTATATTTGGATAAGCATTTAATTTCAGGATTCTCTGGTTTAAAAGTTTTTTTCCCCAAATAAGAAAAATATTTACAACAGAAAGAACATGTCCATTCTCTAGAAAATAGAATTGAAATTGAATTGATTTCCCATTTTTCCAAAATAGGTATGTAAATATATATTAAAAAAGTAAAAAAGACCGGAGGCAATATTATATAATTAAAGATAACAGTGCTTAAATCGCTAGGTGATGACTGAAAGTTCATTTATTGTCTTTTAAAATTTTCTAAGTTTTCTACAATGAGCAAGGATTATTTTTATTATAAGAAAAAACCAAGACAGAGAAATATGCCTTTAATCATGAAATAATTGCATGGCTCTACTGGTAGAAATATGCAAATGCTTTTGTAATTGATTAGGGAATGTATTCTGGGGAGGGATTATTCTTTCTGTTTAGGATACTATTAAAATTTGTGCATATGTCTTAAAAGATACTATTTGAGGAGGAGTTAAGGAGAGGGATACATGCTTGAAGTTAACAGGTTGATTGGTCAGATACTGGCTGCTTTTGATAGTCATCATATCTATATCCTTTTTAGGTATTAAAATCTAAGCTCAATGGGAAAGTGATTTTCAAATTTGTAGCTCACTTTCTAACATGAGCTGTTTTTGGCTATAGGCATTTGCCCTTCATAAAAATTAGTCATGTTACATAGAAACAGTTGGGGGCAAGGCCCATATGAATGACTCAGATGTTCTATAGATAACACAAAAATCCTTTCCAACAGCACAAGAATAGGTAATACTTGAACTCTCATTGGAAGCATACACAAAAGGCAACAAAGCCAAGTGCTTTGCAAATGAAAAGGTCAATGACAGTTGTACAGCATGATTTACATCCAGAAATGGCAACAGACATTGGTCAAGTTAAAGTAATGGAAAAAATGTTGCCCTCCTGGCTCACAGCTTTTCATGAGTAATTTCATAGCTACACACCACTATGAATCATTCTTACACATATACTCTAAGTATCAACAAATTAATTCAGGACACAAGCCTTCAAGAGCACAAAGTCTGACTGCTTGGTGAAATAAACTCTTGAATGATTCAGGGTGAGATGATTCAGTTTAGTCAGTTCCTGTGCATTTATTTCTCTTCTTACCTGTTCCCAGCTTCTAATCATTTTATAGTTCACAAACGTTCTCACCAGAGAAAGGAAGTGAAATTCAAACCAACAGATTTAATTCCATGTTAGCATTTTTTTTCATAAATAAAAATGAGGTTTTGGTGTTCCCCACTGATTTAATTATTCTTGTTAGCCTTGTACCCACTAGCATGTATAGAAGAAAACTAAAACTAGTTAACATTTGAGTAGAAAAAAGGTCTTAAGATTTTAGAAGCTTTCCTAGTCCATCTGTAGAGGTCTCCTTGGACTAATTATAGGTCACTGATGTTCAGGAACCATGAAGCACAATTTTAAGTCACTCGGTTTTTGGTAATCACAAAAGTATTCTGGGGACTCAAAATGTAGCTACAAGATTACAGATGTTTAGAAGTCCAATAGCCTCTCAGTTATAAGTATGATTTGATCAGCTATATGAGACCTTAGACACATTTGGCAAATTTGAGAGAGTGACCTTAGAGGATCATCCACTTGTTTACACCATATGAAACTACTGTAGGCCAGTCTGTTTTTGGCTTTAACTATTAGGAAGAACAAACAAGAAATTTAACAACCCCAGGCAAAAAAAGGCAGATCTGTAGCATTTGCCAATTTCCCTGGTGTAAAAATTCCCACCATAGTCAGTTTTAATCCACCAACTTTACATCATTGAATGAGGAATTGGGAAGAGACAAGGAGAAGCACACCATTATATAACATTTCTACCACATAATAGATGTAAATAACCCTAAAAGCATGGATAATAGTGAAATAATTAGGAAGTGATGAGGTTTGAGTATTTATTACCTTTCTTTTTAATGTAAATTACATTTTATTTAAATATAATAAAATTTAACAATTGTCCCCATGGATTGGTATGGACTAATTTCAGCACACCACTTAATGTAGTCCAAAGACTTACCAAGAATACGTGATCAAATATCTGTGTAGGGCTATCCATTTGACCAAGGATCACTATCATTTCATTGTCTATAAATTCCTTGAATTCTCGCAAGTTGCATACCATTTGCATTTCCAACTCAGTTCGTATCTGAAACAAAGATGGCATATGGTACTAATTTCTGTGACGTCCATCTGTATCTTCAACCACTCACCATTTCTAGCCCATTCCTACTGTTATCCTATTCCAAGCCTTGGAACAGTGAGGACTTAAGGTCTCTTACCTCTTTGGATGTGATATTCTCCAAATCCTTCTGCATCATAATCTCTCTTAATTTGGTTTTAATTAGCCTTTCAGTTCGCTCACGTTCAGTTGGGCTGAGAAGAAAAAAATGGTGATTTTTCTTAGGCAGGAATTTGACTAAGTAAGTTAATAGGCCATTTGGTTTTGTTTCCAAATTGGTAGGCCTTGCCTCTACAACCCTCAAATTTATATAATACTGGAGATATGGCAAAAAATAAAATTAATTAAAAAAAGTTTCTTTTTAGTATGTGTAGAATGTAAATATGTAGGAATTAATTTGAGGGGTTGCACACATCTAAGAGTCCTTAAATACATTCATATATATATGCATATATCCATGAGGGAATAAAGACACACATGAGTGTTAATACTCCTGAGGAGCACTTGTTGAACTAGAATGCTGAGGTGGGTAGACCAGTGATATGACCCATTATTGGAATGGGTCTTCTGTAGGTTAAAATGCCACCTTATGCAAATTTTCACTGCCAAGTTTTAGAAAACAGGAAAAGGGGAAAGAGTGATTCCTGTCTTCATTGAGGCAAATTCTCTTTCAAAGTGGGTTTCAAGGATTAACTAAGTGGAATACTTCCACCCAGAAAGTTCTCCTTTTCATGACAGTGCATAAAATCTCTGTGAACCTGTTACCCCATTTTATAAATAAAGGAAATAAACAGTAAAAGGTTAATGAAATGTGAATGATCACAAATACCAGGAGAATCAGAACTCTCAGCCTAGCCTAACACTCTACCTGCAGGATTATGTTGCTTCCCTTAGTCTTCTGAAGCTCTTAAAAATAAAATTATCCTTGGAACTTTAACATGAAATCAAACTAGGCAGTTGACTCTCCAATTACTAGAAAGATATTGGTTCAATGTAACTGGATGCTTCTCTCTGAAAGCATTATTTCATACTATGTAGAATTTGAGTGAGGCTGACAGAGAGCATTTTCTGTCTCATCTTTCCCTTCTAACATACTCAAGAAAGGTACTTGTTCTGTAGCTCCTTATTTGGGGATGGAAATGGACTAATAAGCCTTTAGGCATTCTGCCTGCCCTTGCTGTCTACTGCCTTATCACTGGCTGTGAAAATAGCTTTGGTAATCTTCAAAGGTGGCTCTGACCCCACAACCTTGGAGCTCCCCACCACTTGCATTCTCACCACGAGTTCTCATGAACTCTGCAGAATAGAGCTAATACCTGGGCCATTTTCCTGTCTATCAACCAAGACCTCCTTGCCTTTTTTTTTTTTTTTTAACTTTTACTTTTTTTTTTTTTAAAGCATTTTTATTTATTCACTTTCACGTAGAAGAACTGGGGTGTAGGCCAGAGGTGTGGTGGGTGAGAGGATTCACCACAGAAAGAGTGGGGAGCAGAACAGGCCCAATCTACCGAAATACACTGCTAAGGGGAGCAGCGGGTAAGACGGGAGAGGTCTGCTGCACCATGTGGTTAGCTCCCTGGCAGGGGATTGAACTCAGGCCATAGCGGTGATAGCCTGAGACTTAATCCATCGGCCACCAGGGAGACCCACGTCCTTGTCTTGACTAGAATTAAAATTCTTTGCCATGCTCCCACCATTTTCCCTAGAAAAAGTTAATTCTAATCTTCCATTAAAAAGAAATACAGATAGAACAAAATTTAGCACCTATGTACATGGATACTCTAATTTAGCCGTTTTCCTCCTAATCCTTCATACTTGTTTGAGGCAGAGTGATCTGGGAGTAAACACACTGGACTTTATTTTCAGCCCTGCTACTTACTGGTGGTTGTGACCTTGACCAAATCCCTTCCCTTCTCTGAGCCTCTGTCTCCTTTTCTAAAAAAAGAGGACAGTTGCCCAGGTCTGCACATTTATGCGTGCAGAGCACTTGTTGCTGCAAAGGCATTCAGGGCTCCCGCAGGGACCTGCTTTTCGTTTCTGCCACCCATGCTGGTGGGCACCTCCTCACCACGCTCTCCCACCCCGCAGAGCCAGGCATAGGGGCCCACCCCTAACAGCGGTTCAGGGTTACCTGAGAGTCATTCACCACAGGGAGAAACAGTACAGGAGGCCTGATAAGACCCCTGAAGAGTTAACACCAGTGAGAACAGTCACAGGCTGCTGGCACCTGCGACACTAAAGTAAATGCCAGGCTATAGAGCCTTCAGCGAAACGTTTCCCTCGCGCAACGTGAGCAGGCAGCTCTGACAGCACGTTATTTGCTCACGCATGTGAGCATGTGCTGATGGCATGGGACAGGCGCTGGAGACTCACAGCACAGATGGTTTTTAGGGCAGTGAAAATATTCTGTGGGATACTATAACGATCACTATGTATTTGTCCCAATCCACGGAACATATAGCACCAAGAGTGAACAAAATGTGAACTATGGCCTTTGGATGAAAATGATGTGTTGACGCAGGTTTGTCAATTTTAACAAATGTACCACGGGGAGGTGTTGATCCTGGAGAAAGCCATGTGTGGCGAGGTGGGGGCAGACAGAAAATGGGAAATCTCTGTACTTTCGCTCATTTTTGCTGTGAACCTAAAACTGTTCTCAAAAAATTAAGTCTTATGGAAAGAATATAAATAAAAAGCTTGTGGTCCAGTGGGGGGGGGGGGAAGAGGACAGTAAGAATATATCTCCCTCAAGAGGTTCTTATTAAATGAGACACATATGAAGTGCTTAGCACAGCCTTTGATGTTGAAGGGAGTACTGTATATGTATATCCTTTCCCCTCTTCCTTGGATTTCAAAATATGAACTTTATTGATAGTGCAGCAATTAAGTCCACAGTGGCACACATTCTTCCTGTATTCTCAGCAGTCTTTTTTAGGGTTTTCCAGTCAAACTTAGAGAGTAGAAGGGAGTGGAAAAAACCATTACAATACAAACACACATTTTCCTCCCTAATTTCACTAGAGGAAAAAATTGTAAAACACATCAAAATGCAAAGAAAATAATCACTAAAAAAATCCCTCAATCAGAAATAATCACTACTAATACACTAATTTATAGCTTTCAATCTTTTTCTATAAATAGCTATATTTGTTTATTAAACATACATAACAAATTGGTATTATATTGTACAACAAAGAACTAACATTTAATGATCTACCTTATACCAGGGACTATATATATATATATATATATATATATATATATATATATATTTTTTTTTTTTTTTTTTTTTGCTTGAAGAGCAAAGAGCGATTATGGGCAATTTAATTTCTTATTTTTTGTGTTGCAGTTTCTAATAAAATCAGGAAAAAATGAGAAAGATATTCCTTCATATAAGCTCAGTTCAAAATGTCCATTTTTGAGTCAGATGAGACATCCTTTCATACCCACCAACCAGCTATAAAGCATGAAATCAATAAGATTTCCCAAGGTTTGAAAGTCAGATTAATCCTTATCTTTACAGTGTGGGATCTTGAAAGAACTAGGGCTACTGAAAAGGTGGCCCTAGTACAAATAATACTATGCAAAAAAGCCTCCACTGCCTTTTTTTTTTTTTTAACTGTTTCAGTCATACATTTCCTAGAAAGTTCACTTCTAGTAAGAAAACATTTATTAACTTTTATTCAAATAAAGTCTTTTTTTTTTTAAATCATGAATTGTTTTGGCATCAGTTTAGGAATCTGAAGGTGAAAGTTTGTAAGTCAGATAGTGAAGAGCTATACTTCTTTCCCAGGTACAGAATACCTGAGAAGTGCAGAAAGATCAGTTCAGAACAAAATGAACATCCTGACTATTTCCAAAAGCAGGAATTAAAGTGTGAAAAAATTTCCAAAATAGTCACATAGGTTTAAACACATAGACCTAAAAAAGGAAATAGACATTAGCTCCACCTTAGGCCTTTATCCAACTCACAGCACACTAGGGAGATTTAATAAAATCTTGCTGACAAAGACTTAATAAGGCAAAGATGGAAATGAGTAAGATAATCTGAACTATATAAAGGGTAATTTTTTTGAACAAAAATAAGTTTAAAATGAGTGTAGAAACCTTAGCATTCTCTTAAATTGACCAGAAACTGTTTAATTAAGTATTAGAAACAGTCCTCTAAAAGTTTCTCTTATGACTAATTTGCTTACCAAATATTTCTTTCATGGGTAATGCAAAGGTGGGCTGCAGTCCAATTCCTTTAAACTCAAATTTCAAGTTATTGGAATCTGAATTAATGGAATGTTATAGTACTACAGCTCTTAACTATGGAGATTCCACTGTGCCCAGGAATAAAAATCCTCAGGTCTTTGCAGACAACAAAAAGAACAGGGTTCTTTATGTGTAGCAGATATGTGATATAGACAATAACAGGTATCACTAAGATTACTTCTTGGAGAGGAGAGATTAGTGAGGAACATGCTATTTACATCCTCCTAGCACACAACAGAGAAGACTTTCATAATCTTTTTCAAAGTGACTTACATGTCAGTGAAGAGAGCTGGAGAGTCGGGCCGGTGGGACTGCACATCTTGCATAGCATTCCATTCATTGACTGAAGACTGATCTGAGTTTATATGGCTCTCGTAGTAACTCACCCAGGTGAGAAACAGGCTACCTGGGTAGTAGTTATGCATTCTGGCCACTTCACAAGCTTTGTGTAGACTCTGCAGCGCAGACCTGAAAGATAAGATGGGAAATGAGCACTGTAGAATTGTGGGGTACCAGAAGGCTAATAATCTATATGTATCCCCAACTCCTCAAATTTTTAAATCCTTGTAGAATTGGTGTCTAGAGAATCTACTCCCTAGGATTCAAGATTCTCTGATTCTAATCTGTACTATATGATCTAACCATACTACTTGACTAGACATTTCTTGTTAGAAGATATGATGCATTATTAATGGGAAGTAGAGGGAAAGCAGGAGAAGTGGCAACCCATCAGTGAAAAACAGGTCTGGGTACATACGGAACTTGTAATCCTAGAGCTGGAACCATGAGGTGGCTATATCGTTAGACAACTAAAGATTTCAACCACTTATTACAGAAGATTCATTCTGAGTCACAGATGCATACACTCCCTATCATTCTTTTTAAAATATTTTTTAAAATTTTATATATTTTTTACATCATTATTCATTTTTGTACAATGTATGCATTTTCCACTCCCTATCATCCTTAAAGTCTCCATAAAGACCACACAGATGTCCCCAAACTTTGAGGACATGTCCTTTCATGTCCAGAAAGTACTGCTCTAATGACATTTATCATTCTTGCTGTCCTTGTCTCCTAGTATCTTTAAGCCATTTATTAATACTTGAGCTACTTTTTAAGAATAGCTTTGGTTATTATGTGACTAATTAAATCTCTAAATATGAACTCAGGGACCCAAGAAGTGTAAATCAAATGAAAAAATACCTTTTGGTTACATAGTTGGGAAAAGCTAAAGCCAGAAATGCTAGGAAACTAGTTACACAAGAACAGGGATCTTTCTATATTTTGTTTACTGAGGTATCTTACGTGATTAAAAGAATGCTGAGTTCATAGTTGAAGGATAGTATTTGTTGAATGAAATGTCGTAGTTATAAACCAATGTCTCTTTTCCAAGGACAAAAACAGTATGAGAGAATTCTAGGGCAATCTATTTACATTTTTTTCATATAGACACATTTTTATATTTTCTCTCATAACAAAAGAAATCTGTGTTTCCTTTCCCTTAGAAAAGTTAAGGACCTCAGGTAAATGGCAGAAATATCCTGTAACATCTAGAAATAAGCATAGATCTTTTCAGTATTTTTGTCTGTACATAGATATATGATAAAGATATGATCATATTTTGCATTCCATTTTAACTTGCTCTTTTTTAACTTACTTTATACCTGCCATCAACATCTTCTCAAGTCAATAAACTAGATCATTTTTAATGGTGCATAATATTTAGTAATGTGCTATACCATAATTTAACTAGGTTTATTTTTCAGTCATTTAAAGCTGTTTTCCAATTTTTGCTATACTTGAAAACAGATAAAACATTCTTATGGTTAAAACTTTTGTACACACCCATGATTATTACATAAGAATAAATTCTTAGCAGAACTACTAGGTCAAAGGACATGTAAAAATGATAAGGCACACTGGCAAATTATTCTCTAGAAAGCTCTATTTTATTCTCCCACCAACTGTGAATGATAATGTTGGTTTCTTGAATCCTTACCAATCCAGTATAATGTAAATTTCTTAAAAATTACAAATTTGGGCCTCCCCGGTGGCGCAGCGGTTGAGCGCTGGGTTGCGAAGCTGCCCGCAGCCTCTGCAGCGCCGGTTCGATCCCCAGCTGCTCCCTGGCCACCAGAGGAGGGTCCCACATGGCGCGCAGACCTCTCCTGCCGCCCGCTGCTCCCCTCAGCAGTGTACTTCGGTCCTTCTGCCTGCTCTACTCCCTGCTCTGGCTCTGGTGAATTCTCTCGCCCTCCCGTGCTTCTGACTGTACCCAGTGCTTGTATGTATAAAATCAATCAATCAATCAATCAATAAACAAATCTTTAAAAAAAAAATTACAAATTTGATGAAGGAAAGATTATGCCAGGTTTTTTTTTTTTTTTTTTTAATTAGGGAAACAGGTTTTTCCTTAAAAACAAAATTGTAGATTCCTTTAAAATGCAAAGTAAACCAATGTCCCAGAGAATTCTCAGTGAATTTAACTTTCATTACATAAATTCAAAGGTAAGGACCAGCTTAGTGCAATGTAGATATTTAATGCATGCTTTCTTCATTTGGGAAACACATTGTTTCAACAGCATACACAAGATTCTTGTGCAAGTGCCCTAGAATGCACTCAAGGCTTAGCCACCTCAGACTCTTTAGCTGCATACAGGAAAGTAGCTGCTGCAGCTATTTTCTGTGGAGGAAACACCTGGTTTAAGTGCTGCTTTGATTCAGACATCATCTTTTTTTTTTTTCTGTGACTTTCAGTTCACTACTCCACATGTGGTACACCCCCTCAAAAAAAAGTTTACTACAAAAGCTAACAGAGCTAGAACCAGTCAGTCTACTTTAGAATATCAAATCTTGACTAAGGTTATTAACTGAATCTTCACTGTCTTAAAAATTTAGACTACTTTATATTTCTCCCCAAAATGTAACTGAAAATACTGATATTTATGGGATTCACTGCAGCTTGGTTTTACTTGGTACCTGGGAAAAAAGGTGTAGTTGCCTTTAACTGGGCCTTAGTTAAAGTGGGACATTAACTTTTCCATGAAAAATTTGGATGTGAAATATGCTCAGAACTGGTCTAAACACATGACCTGAAACTTTGTCCTACAACTCAATTACTGCAAAAAATGGTAAGATGGTTGATTGTTCAGTTGACAGTTTTAGGACCCCACACATTTCAAGTTTATCAATTCTGTTATTCAATAACATATAATTGTCTGAAACCTTTTTCAGTATCCTTTATTTCTTGTTTGGCTTGCCTTCTGTCCACTCTGCTCATCATGGGGACTTCCACTATAGTAGAGGCAACTGAATGAAGAACTAAAATTCAAGTCCCTGACTGGGACTTGAAATAACCACTGTTTTAGTGGTTTTTTTTTTTTTAAAAGATTTATTTATTTATTTATATAAGCACTGGGTACATTCAGAAGCGCGGGAGGGCGAGAGAATTCACCAGAGCCAGAACGGGGAGCAGAGCAGGCAGAAGGACCGAAGTACACTGCTGAGGGGAGCAGCGGGCGGCAGGAGAGGTCCGTGCGCCATGTGGGACCCCCCTCCGGTGGCCAGGGAGCAGCCGGGGAATCGAACCAGCTGTGCAGAGGCTGCAGACAGCTTCGCAACCCAGCGCTCAACCACTGCGCCACGGGGGAGGCCCTGTTTTAGTGGTTTTAAGGTTTTAGTTAGCTTAGTGGTTTTAAGGTTTCAGTGTAGATCTTTTCAGTATTTTTGCACTCTGATTCTTTGCATTCTGAGTTACAACATTCCCTTATTGTATTAGATAATTCCTGGATATTCCAAAACAAGAGAATAAAAATCTATTCTGAATGTAAGAGATATTCTCAGACCAATTACATAATATCTCTAAAACCTCAATTTTCTTATCCATAAGATGGTACTAACACTATTTTGAGAGGCTGATGATGTAACCTGTGTAAGGCACCAGGCACAATGCCTGACACGTAGCAAGTGACTGCAAAGTGTCATTACACCAGCTGATGGTTATTAACAACTATAGTGCTTTTTCTAGGCTTTACTTGTATTATGTAAACAGTCATCAGCAACTTAATGGAAACATCCATCTATAGTGTTAACTCCATCAATGCTATCCTGATTATCTCAAGACACTGAAATTTGCTTATTTATTTATTTTTTTAAAGGGCAGGACTTAATCTTTATTTACTGGGTACTGCAAGGTATGAAATTCCACACAGAACTAAGAAACCCATTGAGAGAAGAAACTTCATACAGTAAGTAGTTTGGAACTGTTCAAGTATAGTTTTGTTGTAAAAAGTGCTACAACTCCAAATTACATTTAAAAAGGTCTTAGTTGAGAAATAGTAAGACAAACTTAAACCAAACACAGTACACAACAAACAACTTTATGCCTCAGCTGTACAATCTAAAAGTTAAAGGTCCCAGTGTCAGGGGGAAAAGATGTCCCGCGCAAACTCCATACAGGCTTTGTGGACTCCACCCCCACTCCATCAAGACTCTAGGAGCTACAAATCCCATGATCCCCAAAGGGAAAGTTGTGAGGACATGAGGGCAAAGTTAAGCAGCCATTTTCTCTGGTTTGTATTTATAACCAGCTATCTGAGTGGGGCTCGCTCTTGGCTTGTGCTCTTGGCCAGGCAGCGCTTAGTTTCAGTGGGTCATTTGGGATTCCAGGTCAGTGGAATGGGTAGGATGCATTGAAGAATTATTCTCCCTTTTTTTCTCCCTGAGATGTTCATTTCCTCATTTCCCCTTTCCTTGTAAATAAACCTTTGATTAGCTTTTTGTGTGTGCCTACAGTTTAAGTCCCCTTTAAGTACACGGGTGAGGACCGACAGTCAGGCAACCCGTTTTATATCAGAGATGCCCTCTAACACCAGGAGTGCCATCTTGAACTTGGAATGTATAGCATTCAGAAGTAGTTTCTGACACAACATTTTATAGCACAGGTGTGCTGGATTTTTGTAGTGAGAAAGATTTGAAGTGTCCTGGTAAGATGACACAAGTAACCACATACTAAAGATGACATATCACTATTGGCAAGAAGAGCCAATAGTGGTTCAACTGCACCATACTTGATAACTAAGTCTTGGAAAACTGAGCCATCACCTGCAATGTTTCCTAGAGTCCAAACGGCTTGTTCAATTATATTAGAATGGGGAGATGTCAACAGAGAAATGAATGCTGGGATAGCACCTCCATCTACCACAGCCTTTGTTTGTTCTGATGTCCCAGAAGCAATGTTAGTGCCCAAGCAGATTCAAACTGAATGGGACTACAATCAATTCTGCCCAAGGACACAAATTTTATATTCAAACTGCTGGATTATGTTGTCTATGGGGGCTGTTTTTCCCTAGAAAGTAGTTTCCTAGTGGCTTGAGTAGCGTGGAGCTGGCTTTCCAAATTGTTGCTATTTATGCCTTTGACAGTGTCGTCAACAGACCAATTTACAGGGCTCTGGTTGTTTAGGTTTTTCTGCAGTGGAGAAGTAGGATTATCAGGAAATGAGCTTATATTTCTTCTTTTCAGCAGCTAGTCATCTTTCTTTGCTTTCCTCATTAACTTATATTTTGTGCTTCCTCATTTCTGTACTGTTTTCCCCCTTGTTCTTAAATCTTTTAAGGTGGGTAGCTGATGAATTAACATTCTTGCTGGTGGACACAGTTATAAGACAAAGAGAAAAACTTTAAAGCCAGCCCAGGCTTCCGTAGAATTTGGGACTCACAGGGTGCAGGGCCAATACTCTCAAACTGTCCACCTCAGTTCAGCCTGAAGATAGCGTGGTTCATGTAACTGGCTGGCATGATTTTCAACAAACTGAAATTTAATGCATAGTAGTGTGATTTTCAAGACTTGGCTCTAGACTGCTACTAACAATGTATCCCTATAAAACTCAGTTCCAGCTGGCTATCTGATCCATTAACTATCTTCCAGAGTTTAAGAATACTTAATTTCACTTGTTCACCAAAACTTAAGGCATTGATGATATCCACAGCGATAACCCAAAAGTTGAACTTTCAGGTAATCTTTAACTATCAACGACACACAAACAGATCACACAAAATTCTATACACGAAAAACAGATCATGTAGCATTTCCATAGAGAATTGTGCCATACCAAATACTACTTCTCACAGACTATCACTCTAGTACTATCATAGAGATAATAAAACTCTTCTTACCACATTGCCTGCACAGATACGGGTTTGAATATGTGGACTCTGTTATCTGTTGAAACGCTGAATCCTCTGAGAAAAGAGAATGAGACAAAAATACACAAATGAGAATGAGTCATTTCAATTGTGAGTTTTCAAGGTTGTTTTACAGCTAGCAACTGCACACTTAGAATCATAAAGCACTTCATGTGGAAGTTAACTGGAGTATAGCACTTGACTGAAAAGTTTCAATAAATTGCCTGATTTTATCTGCTAAGCAAAATGAATGACTCCCACAGTGGAGTTAGTGAATTACATACAGTTTCCCAGCTGTAGCTACGGACAAATTGTTCTGCTGCATATTTCTATTTGGAAGTCTTATGGGTTCTTAGCAAACCTGATCCTGGTTTATAAACTAGAGCAAACATCTTGGTCTCTTGGGACACAGTCTAAAAACACCAGGAGGTGGGAGGTGGAGGGTCACTGGGGGGAACTGGCACAGGAAAGGGGTTATACTGTAGGCTGACAGCTGGCAGAGGCAGCAAGAGGTTATTTGAAACAGAACATATCCTCTGGGAAAGCACTGCAACAGCCCCACATGCTCAGATTGAAGAGTGAGCCAACAAACTCATTCTTTTTTGTTTGGATTCTTACCATAGTTATCCTAGAAGAACAGAAGTGAGAGGCCCTGGCAAGTTTTATTTTTACTCTACTCCACAAAACAGGAGTTTAAAAGGACTTACTAAGCTGCTGACATGACCATTCAATTGGGCACACGGGGCCTCCCATTCAGCTGAATGAATGGGCACTAAGATGGAACACCTCCCCCACGGGCTTTCTGTAGGAAAATAAAAAGGGAAAGTTCTTACCCATCACCATCCAAATGAATGAGGGTGTCACTCCAGAGAGGCAAGACTAAGCCCATGGTACAAGTGCTACTGCAAGAGAAGAGATAGTCTACAAGTTACTTCCTATTATTCCAGGAAGCATTTCGTTGTTTATTAACTTTTAATACAGACATAACCCCCGAAGCTCTAAATTTTGACATTGTCAGACTAGATAAATCCAATGTATATGCTCAGCAACTGTTTTAAACAGGTGGTTATTAGAGGTCCTTATATATTTAATAAAGAAAACATATTAACCGAGTATCCTGAATTGCCGTTTTGCAAACAGCCACTGTCTAAAAATTCCTAGTGATAGTAGCTGACTTGCTGATTGGTAAGTTGTAGCCTTCAAATTAACCCCTAGAATTATTTCTAATCCAAGAATTACTGCTGAAGATCTCTGAATATGTGATTTGCTAGATTCTAATAGAAATTGAACACCAGAATAAACTCAATAGTCTAAAAGGGAAAAGGAAATAAAAAGTAGCTGTTATTGATTTGTGATCAAGTTAGAGAGACCATGTAAGTAAAACAGTACTTGATGACTATGCACTGAACTACCACTGCTAAAATGCAGAATGAACAGGAACGCCAACAACCAATATAAGATTAGCTCTGGCACATTAAAATTTTATTTAAATCACACCCTGGTCCAGGGAGAAAAGTGACTTTTAATTAATGGAAGAGGCTGGGATAGGAAGTTACAGAGGTTGGACATATGTACAGTAGTCCCCCCACCCCCGCCGCCATAAATTCTTGAAACTACAAAGAGTACCAAACCTTATATATACTATGTTTTTTCCTATACATCAGAAATAACTTAATTTATAAATTAGGCACATTAAGAGATTAACAGTAATAACTAATGAAACAAGTTACAACAATATACTATAATAAAAATTATGTGAGTCTTGTCTTTCTCTCCCAAAACCTTATATCATTTTAGGACTACTGTTGGCCATAGGTAACTGAAACTGTGGAAAGTGGAGAGTAAACTACCCCAGACTTCGGCCACTGACAAACCATTTTTCCCTTCCACCCAGTCTCCCGAAGGTTCCCCCACTCTCTCCCTACCAATAAAGCTAGATAAGCAGCTACAGTAGAAAAAACTTTGGGCTTAGGAGGTAGAACAGTAGAGTATGGTTAAGAGCTCAGGCTCTGGAGCCAGATGGGCTCTGGAACTTGGATTCTGGCAGTAACTGTATAAATTTAAGCAATTACTTAATTGCTTGGTGTTCCAGTTTCCTTACCTGTAAAAAAATACCTTCTTTATTGGATTTCTTCAAAGATGAAATTGGATAACACACAAAAATGTGTACAACAATGCCTAAAACATAACAACTACCCTTCACTGAGTAGCTGTACTATGTCAAAAGATCTGGATTTGATCCTTCTAACAAATTATTTAACCTCTCTTAAAATTCAGGTAACAAAAATTTCCCTCCCAGTGTTATAAAAAATTTAAATATTTAAAGTGAGATAATATGCATGAACGTATTGTCATGTAAAACAAATGTTGAATATGTATCTGTAGTGAGTGCTCTAATACAAGTGAAAGTGGGATGGGGATGGGGCTATTATGCAGGAGATGGGGGGCTATTATGAAAATGCATTAAAAACAGAACTACTTCACTATTGCAGGCACTGCAGGGCTAATGAAGGCTATTCCTTAGTTGGGCTGTGTCTAATGCTTTGCACTGCATTTGCTGGCCTGTGTTACTCAACACCCCACTAGTAATTCCAGAGTTCTCTAGGAGACTCAAATCAAGATTGGAACAGCTTATTCACATTGGGACCCTAAGCCTGAACACCAGACACACTTCTATCATGCCAGAGTCTGGAGGGAGTAAGACAACTTCACCACTGTTTTTGCTAGATGAGATGGGGTGAGCAAAAGGAAAACTTGTCTTGAAAATGGCTTCCTAAGGTGGAGTGGGATTATTTTTAGGGAATTTTTTTTTTCAGTGAGTGCTCAGTCAGGTTCCTAGCAACAAGTATAATCTGGGTATAAATATGAAGGGCTGATAGCCTGGTGACCAATCTAGAAATTAAGAAACTACAGAAGGAGATACAGAAGGTCTGAGAGGATACAATTTATGAGCTTGTTACTAGACACCAGTTAAACTTGGACAAGTGACAATGATATATAGGAATCAAATATCATTTTCAGCTTGTATTCAGGTCACAATGTTTTTTTACATTAAGAAGTAACTTTTTCATACAACAGGTGAGAGCCCTGAATTAGGCATACCTTGTATTTTTATCCAGCTCATGAGAGTCTTATGGGATTTTTCTTCATTAAAGAATAGTGGCATGAGGGCTTAAGTCTCAGCACTATGAAGCTATCAGCAGGCACTGCACCACAAGGTTGATGCCCGGCCAGGGAGGTGACCCACATGGCGCAGCAGATCTTTCCTGTCTCGCCAGATGCTCCCCTCAGCAGTGTATTTCAGTAGATTCACCTGTTCTGCTCCCCACTCTATCTCTGGTGAATCCTCTCACCCCCCTGCACCTCTGGCCTGCACCCCAGCTCTTGTAGGCATAAATAAATAAATCTTTTTAAAAAAAGAATAGGTATTATTTAATAAAAACTCATTCCATTCAACAAATACTTGTTGAGTGCCTATATGCACAATAAATCTCTAGGTGTTGGGAGTACAAAGAAAAATTATAAAACATAACCATAAAGTTCTATTATTTTATTTTATAACTTTTATAACTTGAAATATATCGAATGCAATTCAGAAATCAAGGGTATGCTATATATTATAAAATGTTTGTTGAAAATATAAAAAAAACATGTCAATAGGATTAAATAAATGGACTGGAAAATAACTCAAGAACCACTTGGGAAAAATATGTCATATACAATCTGGTTCATACTTTGGTTTAATACTATTTTGAAACATTAACTTTTAATATTCTCAAGAGACAAAATGATAAATTCCTGCAATTGCAACTGAGATAGAAGTGATATCAGAGTACTTGAGCACCTGTATTCAGAAGTGGGCAATATTTCTCTTACTGTTCAAGGAACTTATTCAGGGGATGTATGGGAATTCACAGTACTAAGTTTACCAAATGGAATGAAAACTAGTTTCTATGGCTTTTTATATCATACTTTGTCTTCTATAAACTAAAATTTTCTTTTGAAAGTCAGGTATGATTCAGGCAAGACTATTAGTGAAGGATGATGCTATTCTTTCAAAATAAATTAGTGGGCATCTATATTAATGAGTGTTCTTTTTGATTTCTAGGAATATTTAGGACAAAATAAAGGAGATATCTATCTGATTTCTCACACTTGGGTCAGGGGAAACTAGCGGAAGACTCAAGTAAAGTTTCCATGCAGCCCCAGTTTCTATTTTATGGGGTTTCCAAAGGAGAATCCGGGAGAACCAAACAAAGGAAGTAAGGTCTATTACAAATAAACAAAGAGCAGTGCTGTCCAATTAACCTTTCTATAATCTATCCATGGATTGTCCTATATGACAGTCTCTAATCACATATAGCTAGAATACTTGAAATGTGGCTAGTAGCGACTGAGTAATTACATTTTTAATCTGTTTTTAATTTGTTTAAAACCCACAACATGGTAGTGGCTTCTGTAATGGACAGCAGAGATATAGAGATAAAAATCCCAATTAGGGCATCCCTGGTGGCACAGGGGTTAAAGTCTCAGTGCTATCAAGTAATCACCAGCCACTGTGGCATGAGTTCGATCCCTGGCCAGGGAGCTATCCCACATGGTGCAGCAGACCTCTCCTGTCTCGCCTGCTGCTCCCCTCAGCAGTGTATTTCAGTAGATCCACCTGTTCTGCTCCCCACTGTGTCTCTGGTGAATCCTTTCACTCCCCACCCCTGCACCTCTGGCCTACACCCCAGCTCTTATATGCATAAATAAAATAAATCTTTAAAAAAAAATCCCAATCAGAGGTCTTAAAATCCTAATGAATATAAATAAGTAAGGTAGGTTTTCTTATAGGATGCATGTTTACTGAAAGGTCTATTTCTTAGCTAACATTAGAGGTTAAAACCAAGCAAGACAGAAAGATTTCTAAATGTGGTTTACAAGGCCCTTGTAATTTCAGAGCTGTAAGTGGTATACAAGATAACAACTCTGGCCTGTGAATCAATTAGTCATTTTCAGGATGACTAACTATATACAAGTTGAGGTAAACACTACTTACTACTTTGAGAAACTTTATGGTGACAATGTAATATCCCCTTCTCCCATCTTCCCCAAATGCATCACCCTCAGTATCCGCTTCTCTTTGTGGCTAAATTCTCCCAGCCCTAGGTCACACCCCTAGCTAGTTGGCAGTTCCATTCTAGTACTCAACCAGGAAGTCAATGCTTTGAGACATCTGGCAGGATTTCCTGAGGTTTATTATCTAGAGTGCAAAGATCTGCTTAGCAACCACATTCCACATCTTCCCAAGATTTTCCCCCAAAAAGTAGAGAAATAAAAGGAAAGCAACAAACCTTAGGGACACACAAAAAAATCTAGGCTCTGTGTGATATGTGAATCTTTTATCATAGGATATAAAGTACCACCAAAGCCAGATGTGCATGATTATAAAAGGTTCTGCTTTGAGTTTAAAGAATAACTCCTCCCCCTCCCCCCCCCCCACTTTTAACTCAGAAGGAAAAAGGAAGCATAACATTTGGTAAAAGCAAGGTCTAAGGCTATGGATAAATATAAGAGATTGAAGTTACAGTAGGCTCCCTGTGAATTCAGGACTCACTGATGTACTATCACCAAGGGTGTGTGCTCTTAGAATCACCTAGGTGAATCATTACTGCTTAAAATAAGTGGGCTGCAAAGAAAAAGCAGCTTCTCTCTCATTACTCCCCATTTAAACCATTTGCTTTATATCATCACCACCTAAAGATGAGAGGAAGGTAAGGAAAAGAATGGTAAATTAGGAACACATAACCACAGACAGTCAAAGCATTTTCATCTCTCAAGATGAATGGCTACGATATTTTTGTGTTTTCTAAGTTTATGCATTGAAATTTAAGAGTAGAATGTGTAAAATGTTTTTTGTGATAACTCAAAAGGAATAGGTTATCTAAAAAGGAGTTTTCTCACCTTCCCTTTTGTGGTACCATACCTGTCATTACAGGAGAAATCCATTCCTAAGACAATGCTTTCTTCAGTGTCTTGTCTACCATTAGTTGAAACCACTACCATATAGCGTGTTCGATTCTGGTAAGTACTTTCTAGTCTGACAGCCTGGAAGTTAACAGACAATACATATATTAAGAAGGTGAATTTCAGATTATTCAACCCTTTTACATCAATATATTAAAGCAAACTCAGAAGTACAGTGGAATCAGTAGTTAGAAGACTTTCATTAAAATCCCAGCTCATGTATTAATTATACAATTTTCAGTAATTTACTAATAAGTTAACTGAAAAATAATATAATTGCACCTACCACATTGGGTTGTAAGAATCATATGAAATAATGCATGTTCAGCACAGGGTTTGGCAAACATAAGTTCCCAATAAATGTTTACTATTATAAATTATGCTAATTTATAATAATAACAGTTACCAGGGCATGTTCTAAAGACCAAAGAGGGGAAATGCGAGGCGTATGAATGTGAGCATGAGACTCATAGATGCAAGTCCCACAAATAATAATAATCTGAAACAAGCTATTAATATCTAAGAGGACTATGACCTCCTGAATTTTTGCAGGTTATACACTATAAATTTTTTTTCCTTTGCTTCAATGATAATTAAGGAAAATTTCTTTTTTCAGAAGTGCATATTATTTTTACCAAAAAGTTTTAACTTATTGCTTATTTATGATAGTTTATTTATTTTTATTAATTAAAAGTTTTTTCTAACATTGTAGTCCCCATAGTTTTCCTGTCACCATATCACTTGTGAACCATCACCAGATTCCCTTGTATTCTTCTCTCCCCTGTTTCAACTCCTTTTCCTCCCCTCCTTTGCTGTATGCCTCAGTTCTATTGTCAGCTTGCTAGTTTTGACTTTTTCTTGACCTTTTTTTTTAATGATAGTTTAAAATAAGCATCAGGAAATTTGAATATAGATAGGGTCTTAGAGGATATTAAGGATTTAGTATTACTATGATAACTGCATGTAGTTAGGCATTTTGTTAAGTATCTGGAGTGAAGTGATCTTATCTAAGTTTCACTTTAAAATATTCCAACAAAATTCAGTTCAGTAGGTGAATGTATAAACCTGTGTCCATTCAGACAACGGAATATTATTCAATGCTAAAAAGAAATAAGTCATCAAGCCATGAAAAAACATGGATATTACTAAGTGGAAATCAATCTGAAGACTTTACATACTGTGTGATTCCAATTACAAGACATTATAGAAAAGGCAACACTATAGAGACAATAAAAAAGATCAGTAGTTACCAGGAATTGGGGGAAGGGAGGGGTAAACAGGTAGAACGTAGAGGATCTTAGGGCAGTAAAACCCTACTGCATGATACTAAAATGATGAATACATGTCATTATACACTTCTCGAAATCCACAGAATGTACAAGAGTGAATCTTAATATAAACCATGAACTTTGAGTAATAATGATGTGTCATTATAAGTTCAACAATGGTTAACAAATGTACAGCCCTACATTTGATAATAAGGGAGGGTATGCATAAGTGGGTGTAGACAGTATATGGAAAACCTGTATCTTCTGCTCAATTTTGCTATGAACATAAATCTGCTCTAAAAAAATTAAAAGTCTATTAAAAAATTTGATGAGGGTAGATCTTATGTGTTCTTAGAATAACAACAATAATAACTAATAAAAAGGGTTGGAGGAAACTTTTGGAGTTAATAGATATGTTTATGACATAGATTATGGTGATAGTTTCATGGGTATATACTTATTTCCAAACTCCTCAAGTTGTATGTATTGAATATCTACAACTTTTTGAATGGCAATCAAATCTATTCAATAAAGTGGTTTAGAAAAATGCAACAAACAAAGAGAAAAATGGGGATAGCTGAAAGAAAAATCTGGCAAATTGTTGATGGTTATTAAAGTTGGGTAATAGGTTCATAAGGATATAATTTTGGGAATTTTCTTAACAAGAATGCCCAAAAGGTAGTTATAAACCTTAGAAATAAAATGGTTTCTAACCAATTCATTAAAATATTTAGGGTAGATTTATTGTGTATACAATCAGAGTGCAATGCTCAGGATTCAATGGTGGAAGAGAGAGTATACAATTTAGACTCTTTACATCTGTTAATTAAAATCCAAGAAAATGTGCATTGGCAGCATTTTCCTCTGTGTGAAACACCTGTCCCATTCTTTATCTCAGAGAGAAAAAGAGTTCCAATACCATCAACCTGCTGAAGACATTTGTCAGAAATTTCTATTTGAAATGTTTTCAGTGCTGTTCTTTTGGAGTCTCCTTCACCTAACCTCTGCCATTATTCCAAAAGGGGCTAGAGAGAGAGAAAAAGAGTTGCACAACTCAACAACCCATCTAGCAAGGCAAGTCAGACTCCCATGGCTTTCTGTCTCTGTCCTGATACTCCTAGAAGTGCTGAGAAAGCAGAAACAATAGAAACGGCTACATTAAAGCTTATTTCTAGTGAGGGCTGATACAACAAGAATATAATGTCCATCATTCTGATTTCAAGTAAACAAAGTAGAGTCCTATTACTAACTTAACAGTTCCATGAAGTAACAGAGCATGTCAGGCCAAGTTCACTTACAAGAAGCTAACAGAAAGTAATATTTAAATGGCAAAGGTATAGCATAGTGGGTTGGGACTAAGCGAGCATTATATACATTCAGGGAGCTCTGAATTGTAGCAAAATGCACAGGAGGAAGACCTGGAAGCAGCACTGACTGATTCTACAAACACTCCGCAAAATAACTTACCAGAAATCCAGTGCAGGCAAACTCAGATATTAAAGATCTCAGATACTGTATAGCTAGATGTGGGCTTGCTCTGAGCTAACTGTTCAGTTTGCTGAATATGTTAGAGGCTCTTTTATTCTACGTTAAGGTCTTGAGAATATCTGGCGAGGCTTAAATACAAACGGGCACAGGAATAACTGAACTCTATTTCTGACGATTTATCTGCAGCTTCTACACCAAGCAGGGCCAACTGATTGGCAAAGCTAAAGCTGGCAAAAGGAAAAAAATTAACCTCCTTAAATATTACCTGTCATATAAGTTTATAAGGTGGGGCAGTAAATATCTTTGTGATGCCGTGCAAACATCAGTTGCTCATTAGTTCTCTCTTTTTTAAAATTTTATTTTCTTATATCACTGTTCATTTTTGTACAATAACTGGTTTCTCCCTTCACGTATAGTCTCCACAGTTCTCCTACTGCCATATCACCAGTGATCTTTGTGCTCTTCCTTCCTGTGTTTTGAACCCCTTCTTTCCCCTTCCATTGATGTATGTCTTAGATCTATGGTCAGTTTGCAAAATTTTGTCTTCTTCCTGACCTTTTGTTTGGTTTCTCTATATTCTGCATATAAGCATAACCATCCAATATATTTTTTTTTCCTTCTGATTTATTTTTGGCTAGCATAATCCCTTCTGGCTCCATCTATGTTGTTGCAAATGACATGAGTTTGTCTTTTTTGATTGCTGAGTGATATTCCACTGTCTCTTTTTGTAAAGTGAGTTAGTGTGTTTTATAAAGTGAATTATGTGTGTTTACAAATAAATAAGAAGATATCAAACATCTGGCGCTGCCTTGCTTCATTTAAACTTAACAAAAGATATCAAATCTAACTGGAAAAGTCCTAGTCATCTCACATTGATTTAGGATTGAGGCATATCTCAGATTTTTAAGCTCAATTTTAAGCTCTGAGATGGAATAGCACATAGAGGTCTTGGGATTTGATCATGGACCTCTGATAGTACCTACAGTAGTTACTAAATTCTTGCTAAAGAGAGCCTCTCTGGTGGCGCAGCAGGTTGAACTCAGCGCTGTGAAACTGTCCACAGCTTCTGCAGCACAGATTCGATTCCCGGCCGGCCAGGGAGAGACCCACATAGCACAGCAGACCTTTCCTGCCTTGCCCACTGCTCCCCTCAGCAGTGTCTTTGGTGTGTCTGCCTGTTCTGCTCCCCGCTCTGTCTCTGGTGAATTCTCTCACCCTTCCACGCCTCTGCCTTGTACCCCAGTTCTTGTATAAATAAATAAATCTTTAAAAAAATTAAAAAAGTAAAAATTTATTAAAATAAATAAATTCTCACTAAAGAATTGAAAGTGGCTCCTTAATTAGGGGGTAAGCAGCCATGAAATTAATTCCATACCTAACTCTTACTTAGGAGAATGGTATGAATTATTTTTTATAACTTCCATTTAAGCTTGAATATCTAGGTTAAGGGATTAAACACAAATTTAAGAAAAACTTAATGCTTACCCTGGCATGTTCCTCAAACCAATAGAGAGATATATTTAAAAATAGCAATTTGTATATAATACCCTAATGTTAGAACTGGCAGCAACTCCAGAATGCACATGAAATAGGTGCCTGGAATAAGACACTGATTCACATGCATATTATTAACTGAAGTTCTCATGGAGAAGGATACTACTGACGCTTACTGTCCAAAAAAACTCCCGCAAAAGCCAGCATTCTGGATTTCAAAACTTCACAGCAAAGTGTTTCAAGCGTTAGGTTAACTGGATCCAGCAATCCTATATCTAAGATAGTTGTGAGAAGTCATTTCCAGCCTCTGCATTATTCCCGAGATAAGAACCTAACCTGTTTTCAAAGCTCATTTATCAAAGGATGGTGTTAAAACTTCCTTCAGTAACCAGTGTAAATGTTTAGTCTGATTATAAGCAGTTCACAGATGCCATCTGACTTAAGTTTCTCTCTCAGCATCATCTAACTTTGGAAATGTTCCTCTTAAAGCTTACCTTTGCCTTTAATTTCTTTTCATCAAGAGTCTTACATCATGTCTCTGCATGCAATGTTTATTCACACTGAAGCCACATTATAAAGTCCCAATGTCTAGACAAACAACTCACCCCAATCCATGAGAAAGGTTTCAAAGTATGTAAATATTAAATTCTAGCCAAAAGAACAAAGCAAAGTCAATATCTAAAATTAAAATAGACTTCAGATGTGACATTAATAAACTAAAGAACACAGTCTTCAAAAGAAATGGAAATTGAGGGAGTTTGTAATTTTAATTTTATAATCAATCTGTATGAAATTCTTAAATTAAAAAATCTATGGGTTATATTATGGCTAACCATTAAAAATATACTTATCTAATGACATGGAAATATAAAGTGTAAAGAAAGCAGATTATAAAGCAGTATTTATATTTTTATCTCATTTATGTAAAAAAAGTGCTCTGATACATACTGTCATACACACATGCACACACACACAAATAGACTGGAAGAAAACTTATGCTAATTGCTAATAATTTTTTTAGAGTGTAGAATACAAAGTGATTTTTGCTTTCTTATTTATACCTTTTCTATACTGTCTGATTTTATAAAGTATAATATATTTATACTTAAAAATTAAACCCATTTTCATTTTGGAAAAAAGTCATAAAAACAAAAATAAAAACCTAATTTTCTCACATTCTTCTGCAAAGTACTGAAAAAGCAAACAAAAACCTTATCAATACCTGGGCTCTAGTTAAGACCATTACTTCAAAATTAAAATGTTACTTCAAGTATCAGGAAAGTTGAATATTTCCCAGTCTTTTTCTACTAAATGGGTCTTTAATAATGTGCAAGAATACTATAAAATCACTGTCTTCATTTTTCCAGTTACTGTTTTCCTAAATACTAAAATTAATGCTTGAGACTGTATTTGGAACACAGAACTCCCCTGGAGGCAAAGCTGATTTAGTCCTGTTTTCAATGGTAAAACAAAATGTGGGATTTGATGTCTCTGTTGTTGGGTTATTAAAAATATAAAGGCAGGACTTTCAGTTGACTATCAAACTTTTAACCTTATGCATAAGCCTTAGATGGGAGTTGAAGCATTCCAAATTTAACTGAAAACAAAAGCCCTTGCTTTGCATCTACAAATGCTCCTTTCATTTAGAAAAGTGCTAATTTGTCCAAACTCATACAATGTATTCACTCATTTTCTTGAAGATGACTCACTCAATAATCTGAAACACAATGACTATGTGTTTATAACAATTCAAAACAACTGTAAAATGGCTTGTCATTTGAACTGTGAATTAATCCAGAGGCGTGAGTTATATTTTCTGAATTTGTTTTTATAAATATAAAGCAGCTGCAGCCATATTTAGTAGGGAAAAAAATTTAATTGCTAACTCTACCTTCCTCAGTGCTTCCTTAATGGGTTCCCAAGACTCTTGTAGTTAAAATTATTTCAACATTTAGAGGTGCAGTCCAAACTCCAGCAGGTTCTCAATGCAAAAAGATAAAATGAATGATACACCTCAGCTTCAGCTCTCCCAAACGACACAATTTTTGGAAACGATGAACAAATATCTATTAAACATGTAGTATGTGCAACTGACCAACAAAGATTAGTGGCCATCTCAAGATGGTGACAGAGATAACGCTCAAGGTTAAGTCTCAGCACTGTCATGAAGAATTTAAAGCCAGAAAGATTAAATGAATGAAGAATCAGTGAGTACCATAAAGTCAATTTTATATTTTACTCTTCCCAGAAAGAAAGCAGAAATCAACTACTTAAACTTAACATATCTTGGGAACGCATTCCCAAGTTAACATATCTTGGTATAACCCAACGGTTATCACCCTAACCCAGAAGGGCTCATCATTACACACCTGGATTATCGTAGTAACTACCAGCAGGCCCTTCCTGATTTGAGATGGCTGCCTCTCTCCTCTTCTCAATTCTGTGTTAGCTTCTAAGGAATCTTTCTAAATACTACAACTATCCCATATAATCTCTAGCCTCAAGAACCTGTAACTGCTTAAGGAAGAGGTAGAGGGACTACCTCCAGGTATTAATCCAGGAGGTCAAATAGGGAATGTAAATGAGTGAATTAGGCCACATTAATATTGAATGGGTAGAAATGCTTCTCACTTTGCACAAAGAAATGTTTCTTTGTGGAAGTTTCTTATTTTTATTAGAGGTTCTTTTATAACAACATTAACAGTGAAGGAATGATGACAAATGGTGACATTTGGCTTTAGTGTCCAGGAGACATAATAGAATATGTGGGCATTCTGGTAAATTCCGAGCCTGTGCCCCAAATCCAGGCAAGTTTTTCCATGTGAGAATAAGGTCCCAGAGTTGCCATAATTTTTCAATTTTTGAAGACAAGTCCCAAGTCTGGATTTTTTTGTGAAATCACCCAACTTTAAAATTTTGGCTCAGATTTTTAAAAACCCAATGACAATAAAACATATGCCTGGCCTATGTGTATAAATTTTGAGACCTCTAGTTTATAGAATTAAGTCCCTATTTGCTTGCCTTGTTTTCTGGTCTCTTATCTTCCCTATAGTAACAATGTCCCCATATTTAGGCAACATTTTATACTCTTTAATATAAGCTATCCTGTCCATTTCATCTTTTCAAATGTGAATAGTAGAAAGGAGATGAGGAAAAGGGCACAGACAGGCTAAGTAATTTGTTCAAGTTATATGATTAATAAAAATCTTAGCCCAAGTCCCTTGATTCTGAGACCAGCATAAATCCTTGGCCATTTAACTCTCTCTTTTTGTCCCTTCTTATATATGTTATTTTGCTCTAGTCACTTAGAATGGCTGTCTCTTTTCTTTCTGCCAATCTAGATATTGTCCTCTTTCAAGAACCAGCTCAAGTTTCACTGTCTACATAAAACCTTCCTCAACTATGCCAGTTTTCTCTTTTTATTTTTTCTGAATTTTAATTGTTGTTATAGTCTATAACTTATAAACTGGAGCTTACTAACAATCTTGAACCATCAAATTATTTCACACCTCTTTACATAAGTTCAGATACCCAACTACATCCTAAGCTACTTGATGATGGGAATATGTCATTCTTCTTTTCTGTTCCACAGTTCTTCTTTTCTGTTCCACTGTGTTAGAACATAAAAATGACTGCTTAGTGTTTACTACCTTATACAGTCTTTTGAGGAAGAGAGTTAGGACAGCACAAACTTACCAATCTGATGTTGTCTTCTGGGCGGAGTAATATGAACATTGCTTGGAGATGCTGTTGGAGATCACCTGGTGAAATTTATGAAATAAAGGATAATTGTTCTTCATATGATATCAACACAGAGGATTTCCTCTATCCTAATAACTTCTATATAAGAAAGTATTAGTCATGGAAGCATAAGTAGACATAGAAATTCCTGGTGGTACAAGGGGTTAAGTCTCAGCACTGTCAAGTTATCTGCACCCACTGGAGCTCAAGTTCAATTCCCAGCCAGGGAGCTAGCCCACATGGCACAGCAGACCTCTCCTGTCTCACCTGCTGCTCTCCTCAGTAGTATATTTCAGTCAATCTGCCTGTTCTGCTCCCCACTCTGGTGAATTCTCTCACCCTCCCCCCCAACCACTGGCCTACACACCAGTTCTTGTATGCATAAATAAATAAAAATACATCTTGAAAAAAAGAAATAGAGTATCTTAATATGATTATTGATTTCTTTTTAAATGTAACAGAATGACACACTGCATCTCTATATATTCACATTTAGTCTATATCACATTAATATTTTGTTTTGCATTTGTCCTATGGAAGGTGCATTTCTTAGTTTTATACTATGATGGATATTAATGAGAGTAATGGTGAGATCTTCTGGGCAGAGGCATATACTGGCTGTGCTTTTAGAAAGTTCACTGGAAGCATGATGAAGTTAGCAGTGAGGGACTTCTAAAAATAGGGTATGTTCTGCATAGTGTTAGAGTTGTCCCTAACTTTAAAAAAGCAAGCCATTCTGCCATTCTTATTTCTATAATTGTAATCTTCAGCTCCCCTTAACCTAACATTTTTGAGATTCCCCCTAGAATAACGTCAACAGTTTAAAATGATTTCCACATTAGTGGTTAACATTAAAATGAGAGTACTTGTTAAATACAGATCCTAAGAGATAGATATTTTACTGAACACATTATTAGATGTTTTAAAATAGTCAACCATTATTTGAATGCTCACTTTTTCTCATACATTATATAAATTAAATTGAATTTTTTGGTATTAAACTATAGGGCCACTGCAGCACGAGTTCGATTCCCGGCCAGGGAGCAATCCACAAGGTGCAGCAGACCTCTCCTGGCTCGCCCACTGCTCCCTTCAGCAGTGTATTTCGGTCAATCTGCCTGTTCTGTTCCCCACTCTGTCTCTGGTGAATCCTCTCACCCCCAAACCTCTGGCCTGTACCCCAGCTCTTGTATGCATAAAAATAAATCTTTAAAAAAAACTATTACAGATTTCCTCATATTCCTTATTCTGTACTTGGAAATTTTAAAACTTTTGCTCTTAGATAATGTACAGTTATATAAAGTGACTGACAAAGCCACCTAATCATGGATGTCAATGTAACCTGTTCTCACATTGGTCTTAGTATCCATATTACAATTTTTCTCTAAGTAATTTTATAGCAGTTAATTATGAGATGAAATACTGAGAGTTGGAAAGAGGCAGGGAGAGAATAAAGGTATGTTGACAAACAGGTATGTTTGTCTAAAAGGTCAGCAAGTCTGAAAGCCTTTCCTTTCCTTCTTTGTCTTTTTTTCCCCATTTCCCTGCTAGCTTCTGATGAATTCTATTACTGCAGAATCTTTCAACCTTCAAAATTAAAAAGATCCATTCTACTGTATTTCAAACCCACAGGTATAATCTAAGTCTCATGTAGCGGTATGAACTCAATGGTATAAAATCAAGAGAAATAAAAACATTTCTCCACTCAAAAACTTGAACACAAATGTTCAGAGCACTATTCAAGCACTCAAAAAAATTAAAAAAGTAAAACCCAAATGTCTATAAATAAAATGTAGTATATTCATACACTGAAATACATTTGGTTATAAAGGAATATAGTACTGATATATACTGTAGCATGAGCCACCTTTAAAGCAATATGCTAAATGAAAGGAGCCTGTTTCAAAAATTATTTACATGGAACACAAATCTAAAGAGACAGAAATTTGGTTGTTTAAAGCTGGGAGAGAAGGTGAGGTTTATTGGGAGTGATTGCAATGGGTACTGGGGTTTATTTTGGGGGTGATGAAAATGTTCTAAAATTAGATTGTGATGATTGCATGACTTTGTGAATATAGTAAAAAGCGCCAGCATACTTTACATGGGCAGTAGGTGCATTATATTTCAATAAAGTTATTTTTCTAAAAGGAAACAGTGTGGGGAGACAAAGGGTTAGGTCTAGACAATGAAGAGTGGCTAGAGTTACAAGTTACACTTGAATTAAACAGCTGAGGCTTTTAAAAAATAGTTTTCTTCTATTTTATCAGGAGAAATAACCTCAGAAAGAATTTTCAGGATGGAAAACTTCTGGAGAAGAATCACTTCTTCCACAAATGGGCAAACAGTAGCTCTAAGCCCCCACTCTAAGCACTACTGGTCCAAAGATACAACTAATTTCTTAGAAAATCAGACAAAAGTCAGGGAGCCCTTCTCCTTGAGTAATGCTTCTTATGTGAGTTGGGTATGTGGAAGTACAGGTCTTTTTAGTGTTGATAAGTACCGCCATGAACAAATTGAGTATTTCCTACTAGAAAAACTGTTCTAAAACTAACAGAGGCAATAAACAGTACTTAAAGAGTCCTACTCTACATTCCCCATATATTTTATTACTAACACCTAGGTTTCAGATTTGTTTGATTTTAAAGACTTTTTGCTCTTTTCCTCTAAAATGTTGATAGACATTCATAATTTTTTGACTGTAAGAAAGTATTTGGATATTTTAGATTCAGTCCATATAAAAAAATTCTAATTCAAGAAACATGGATAAGAAAGTGCAATTAGACAAGCAGGTCTTTGATCCGTTCTCAATTCTGCCATCGTCTTTATTACTATGAGATCAGCCAAGGCAGTTTCAGCTTATATGAAGCTCTGTGAACTGTGTGAGTGGTGCTCTGAGCTGCATTTATACTCACACTGCCTTACATGTCCAGTCTGTATCACAAATCAAGCCCATTCAGTTTGTATTACACCAGCTTTACTTTTTTGCATGGGGAACAAGGTCAAGTAGAAATGTGGGTGGCAGCTGACTGCTGAAGTATAATAAAAGAAAAAGGCTAAGCAGGGCAGGAAGTTTTAAAAGCCATTGGCCTCACTTACTATTATATGCCACAGAACACTTGGCCTAACATCTTAGTTGGGCAAAGTGGACTTAAACCAACAATTTAATTTTTTCTTTACTGTAAGTGATAAGTATCCAAACAAATACAAAGTTTAGCTGGGTCTACTTCCTCTGTGCATTCAATCTGGGGACAAAGCATCTCCTCCTCCTGCTAGTGGGCATTAAAGAGGAAGACTTTAAATCCAAAGCTAATTTTCAGAAGTATTCCCCCTTACTTGTTTAAAAAATTTTCATGGTTGGAGACTTTTGATAGGAGGATGATACTGCCCAATGAGAAGGATTATAATTCTGAGCTCTATATTTGCAACTAGTTGAAGGTCCAAGCAAAAAGTAGGGCAGGGGCCTCCCTGGTGGCACAAGGGGTTAGGCGTCAGCACAGTGAAGCAATCAGAAGCTACTCAGCATGAGTTCGATCCCTGGCCACGGAGGTGACCCACATGGTGCAGCAGACCTCTCCTGTCTTGCCCGCTGCTCCCCTCAGCAGTGTTCTGTGAGCTGTTCTAGCAAATTAATCAAACTGTTCTGCTCCCCACTCTGCCTCTGGTGAATCCTCTCACTACCCCCATCCCCCATACCTCTGGCCTGTACCCCAGTTCTTGTATACATAAATAAATAAATCTTAAAAAAAAAAAGTAGGGCAGCCACTAAAATAGCTGAGATTATATGAACTGGAGGATAAATTTCAACTTTTGGTTCAATGGCTTTCACCTCTGATTTGTACATTCAAAATTTACAGCTTTCTTTGTTCTCTTCCTAGTAACTGCAATTTCTTCTACTCCTAAAGATAAGATATCATCAAAGTGGTACATTCATGACAAGCAACCACCTCTGTATAGTACTAATCAGGAGCTCTCCAATCATTGTCTTCAAGTTGACTTTCATTCCTCCCCCACCAAATAAACAAAGCTTGCTTTGTAGAAGAAAGGAATTAGGCTGATTATCTCCCCAAACCATGGCTATCCTATACTTAGAGACCTCTTTCCCTCACAGTTTCCATGATTCTGCTATTCTTAACCTCATCAACACAAGTAAGTGCATCTGACTTTAGAGAAATCCAATATTTGGACATATAAAGGCTCATATTATTCTTAGTAGGTGCAATACTGTGATTTATAGTAAGATACATATATTTAGTCTTCCTCCTATTCTTGGCACAAAACCCCTAAATTCCTTGGAATTTCTTAAGTAATCAGAGTGATAAGGGTGTTTTTAGTTATGTTAATAAGGCAACTTTTGGAAAGCACTATGTACAGGTTACCAGAGAACTCAACCCAGTGATTAGAGTTGGAATTTTCAGTTCCACTCCCGCTCAGTCCTGGGGAGGAGTAGGAACGGAGGTTGAACCCATCACCAGTGGTCAATAATTTAATCAAGCATGAATATGTAATGAAATCTTCACAAAAACCAAGAAGGAAGGGGTTCAGAGAGCTTTTGGGTTAGTGGACACATGGAGATTTGGGAAGTGTTGGGAGAGGGCATAGACGTTTAAAGGACCTTCCCAGATATCTTGTCCCATGCATCTCTTCTACCTGGCCATTCCTAAATTATATCTTTTTACAATAAACTGGTAATCGAGTAATTAAAATGTTCCTCTGAGTTCTGTGAGCTGCTCTAGTAAATTAATCAAACTGAAGGAGGAGGTCCTTGGAACCTCCCATCTATAGCAAGTAGGTCAGAAGCAAGGGTGATAATTGGCAACTGGTGTCTGAAAGAGGAGGGAGGGGACAATACTGTAGAGTCCTTAACTAGTGAGATCTCAAACTATCTCCAGGTAGAAATCAGAACTGAGTTGAACTGTAGAACACCCAACTGGTATCCAAGAATTGTTTGGGTGTGTAAAGAAAAAGACCCACAGATTAGCATTGGGTACAGAATATTAGCAGGTTATTTCAAAACTAGACTGTTACACTCATTCCAAGGTGAACATTTATTTGATAACTTTTTATTTCTAGAGAAGGCCTCTGAATTCAGTTTCTGGTGTTTTTTGTGCAACTATAATCAGGCAGATTTGGATATTTACGGACTGTAGATTCAACATGTGATATAATAACTGTTATCACAACAGTGACATGAATTTATTCTATTCATCTTAGTAATATTCCATATCATTTTCTTCAATCTTTGGTTGATTGAAATAATTTGTCCAGGAGCTGAGAAAACATCTGAACATCTTTCAGTTATCAAAACTTTGAGAAATCACATAAAATTTGATGAGCATATTTTTATAACTTATTTTTCAACAAAAATTTACTGAGCATCTACTACATAACATAAGACATTCTGCTAAGTGCTAGAAAAAATGGTCTATGGAAGTGAAAAGTGATTTTAGCACAGTATAATGCTTTCTTTCGCTGTTAGAGAATTGTTGGAGACATGGAGTTAAGGCAGTCTACCTTTTAGAACAAAACAAAAGGCAAAGAAACCAAGAAAGGAATGGTGTGTGGTGGTTTACCTGCATGCTTGTTGCGTCTATGGCTGATTCTTGGAGTGGATGAGCCATTTCCCCGTGGTAGAAAAAGAGCAGCACCTTTGACAGTTAGAAAGCTCTCACTGATGCTAAAAGGAAAAAATAAAATAAAATTATTTACAGAAGGAAATCAAAGAGTAAGACTCACTTTAGGGTTATTCTTTCTTCCTTCTTCCAAAGTTCCAACTTCACAGGATAAAGTAAAAATAAAAGGCTCTGGTTCTTACACCTACTCTAGACAATTTTTTTCTGAAGCAAAACTTACTCTATAAACATTATATGGTATCAGATAAGAGTAGAGGCTCTGGTAACAAAGAAAAAGGGTAATGGCACTAGAACCAGAATGCTAAGGTTTGAATCCTCACTGCTTCTTACCTGAGTGAATTGGTGTGTGTGGTGGGGTTATTTTATTTATTTATGCACACAAGGGCTGGGGTGTAAGCCAGAGGTGCAGGGTGGTGGTGAGAAGATTCACCAGAGAGAGTGGGGAGCAGAACAGGCAGATCTACTGAAATACACTGCTTAGGGGAGCAGTGGGTGAGACAGAAGAGGTCTACTGTGCCATGTAGGTCAGCTCCCTGACTGGTAATCGAACTTGTGCTGCAGTGGCTGCTGATAGCTTCATAGTGCTGAGACTTAATCCCTTTTACCATCAGGGAGGCTCTCTAAATTTCTTTATCTGGGGCCTCCCTGGTGGCCTGGGAATTAAGTCTCAGCGATATAATTGCTACAGACTGAGTTCGTTCCCCATTCAGGGAGCTAACCCACTATGGCACAGTAGATCTCTCCTGTCTCGCCAAATGCTCCCTTTAGCAGTGTATTTCAGTAGATCTGCCTGTTCTGCTCCACACTCTGTCTCTGGTGAATCCTCTTAAAGCCCCATGCACCTCTGGCCTACACCCCAGTTCTACACAAAATAAATATTTTCCTTATTTATAATAGAGGGGTAATAAAATGAGGTGGTTGTGAGGAGTTAATAAGAATGTTATCTTCTCAGAATGGTGTTTGGCATATAGTAAGTCCTTAGTAAATATTAGTTATAATGATTACATGTGTAGTTATCAACAATGGTGTTTCAGTAGTGTTCTAATCAGATGCAAATCTATATTAATACTTAGTTAATAATAAATCCAAAGTATGCAAAAAAGATTTGTGTTTAAAATCCATGCACTCTACATTGAAGTGTTACTCAAAGGTTTTCTTTCATCAGCTTACATTACCATATGCATTGAAAAGAAGTAGTGCACCTGTGTTTTACCCATAGGAGTTTGCCCTCCATGTTAACATCATCCACCATGTGGATGATAGCTCAACAGAAGTGGAGAATTACTGTAAAGGAAAGAGGCTATTCAAATTATAATTATTAAAGGATGCATATCCACAGAAAACAAAATAGATCTGTTATTTTACATCAACAGACTAAGTCAATCTTACCTACAGAATTTGAAAAATTACAAATTTTAACTCATTAATGGCAAAGTTAAGAAACACATAAAAGTGGGTTCCAAGTTTGTTTGTAAATGTTATGCTATTCAGGGTTAGCTAATGTACTGTAAGTAGTGTACTCACTACTAGAAATCTAACTGGCATCTTGAATTTATATTGTCAAAACAGATCTCTTGAGTTCTCCTGCAAATTTGATCCTTAGCCTATTGCACCCAGTTGGTTGGGTCTAATACATTAACAGTCAAACTGTGGTTTCTCTTTTCCCCTCCCCCAAATACGCATTTAATCCATCAGCAAGATCTGTGAATTTTACTCATAAATATAGCTCGAATATGTTCACTTATCTCTATTATCACTCTGACAATGTCCATGGCACCACCATTTTTCACTGAGACCACGACTGAAAAGCCTTTTTAAAGTTTATTACAGAAAATTTCAAGTAGAGGAAATAATATAACGAATCTCCATATTCCCATACTTTCAGCTTTAATTCAGTCTTAGTTCTTCTATAGCCTTACCCCTTGCCCTTGAAGTGAAACAAATTCCAGACATTCTATCAGCAAAAAGTCCTTTAGCTGTCTGCAAACACTTCTGCACTGAGGCCAGAGTGATTTAAGAAATATACTTGATATGCTATAATGTCACTTCCCTGCCTGAAAACCCCCAATAGTAAGTCACTTTATACTTATACAGAAAAGCTAAAGTCTTTAACTTGAACCTCAAGGATCTATCACATCTGATAATAAGCTACATCTCTGATCTTGTACTATCTTCCTTTTTTGTTTACTGTGGTCTAGTTGCACTGTACTTCTTTTTGTTTCTTCTGTATCTTAGATCCCTTTCTCAAGGTCTTTGTGCCTTTTTTTTCCTACCTGGGATGCTTTTCTCCTGACTTGATGCTATTTAAATAACAGCTTAGGTATCCCCTCTTCCTCCATCCTAATCATGTCTTATTGTTCAGTTTTTGCTTTCTTCAGGATATTTATAATACACAAAAATTACACTCATTCACTTTTATACTTGATTGTAATTATTTCCCTATAAGTTCCATATGAGCAAGGACTTAATTTTGCTTTTCACTATATTATCAACACTGAAAATAGTGCCAAGGATATTATTAGGCACGCAACAGATATTTGATGCCTGAGTCAATCCATTCTAGGGGTTCTTCTACAGTTTTGTAGCAGTTCCATCACTGCAGCAGGAATTTAGGACAGGAAAAGAGAAATTCTATAATTTCACATGTAAAAAGCAATAGTTACAGAACTTGGATTAATGTACTGTAAAATACAAATGTTAGAAAAATTGGCAAACAAAATTAAACCATTGAAGTTAAAACACCTCTATAATGTTGCTGGTCTTTGACTCAACTTTATCATTTATCAAGAAACATGAAGCTGATAAACCTTTGAAGTAACTTGCCAAATAGAATGGAAATGTCTTTTAAAAACAATCATAAGAATCCACAGACACCACTTAAAAAATCTGCATGCTGGCCAGGATATTTTGTTTTCATCTTTAAATAAAGTATTGCTTTCCTGTGGTCTGTTGCACAAGTCTTTTCTCTTGTTACAGTCATGGCATGCACGTCACACTGCCCTGGGTCACTCTTGTTTCACTCACATACAGAACAATCTAAGACAAAATGTCTAAGTGACAGGATGAACATGGTACACCACAGACAGGAAATGAAATTCACACTTCCGCCAACACAGCAACTGTCTGCTTTACTAAATGAAAACATTTAAAAAAATAAAAACTAAATATTCTAGCTATCATCAGTCAAAGATATAGCTGGGGGTACTCTGGCTCCTAGAGTGGTTTTTCCATCTACAAAAGGAATATATTTATTAAGAGCTTAAAACAACCTGGCATACTTCAGTTATTCCTTTGTGAGACAGAGGTAGTTTCTGTTTGACCTACACTAGTTTAAGAACTAACTTCCTGGTTTTGGAGTTCTGTAATATTGTTCTTAGATACATTTGTTGCTAATGCTTAAAAGTATAGCTAAAAGTATTCTTTAAAATGTATGTAGTGAAGGGGCCTCCCCGGTGGCACAAGGCGTTAAGTGTCAGCACTATGAAGCTATTTGCAGCCACTGTAGCACAAGTTCAATCCCTGGCCAGGAAGGTGACCCTGTCCTGTCTCGCCTGCTGCTCCCCTCAGCAGTGTATTTCAGTAGATCTGCCTGTTCTGCTCCCCACTCTGTCTCTGGTGAATCCTCTAACCATCTCCACCTCTGGCCTGCACCCTAGCTCTTACATGCATAAATAAATAAATCCTAAAAAAAAAATAAAATGTATGTAGTGTTTTCATAAGGGGAGTTGGGGGAAGAGGTCCCTGGTTATCTCAAAGCTACCAGATTATAAAAGAAGGACGGGGAGTCAGATTCATGTAGGGTATTCAGTTAATGATTATTTGAATCATTTACATAAATCTCAATAAAATTTTATGATGAAACAAAAGGCATAGCAGATCTTGCTGAGCAAGGAGAATGAGTTGCTAGGTGCAGTATTGACTTCCAGAGAGTTATGGCAGTCATACTTTGGAGGGTAATAACCAATATCTTTATTCTGTGCCCCCAGAGTAAGACTCCCCAGATACCACAATAGTGGCACATACTATTGATCACAAAGGGAACCAGGAGTGAAAGTGTGGTTGATTATAAAATTTCCCTATCATCATTGAAAAAAATCAAAGATATATAAATGCTATCAAAGAAGGGATGGCAACACCAAAGCAAGGAAGCTATAAATAAAGAAGTGAAAAATTCACAACCAACAGACTTTAGGTAGATCAAATTGAATTTGAAAATTAAATGCTTTATTTGCATATGAAAACTTTTATGTAAATTTAATATCATGTACTTCAATGTAAGGTTGAAAGTTCAGCATAGCTTGCTGGAAGACCAAGAGATTCATTTATGTATATATCAATCTTTCTGAAACAGATGTCTGAAGATTCAAATGGCATAGAGTTGCACTCTATGAATTTAGAAAAGCAGGTGAAAACCTTCTTGAACTGACAAGTTTTCTAGTGACTGACCCAGAAAGAGGACCTTACAGAGTAAGTTCTATGAAACTACTCAATGTGTGATAACAGATGCCTAAGTTAAACAAAAGCCCAAAAGGACTTAACCCTATACTAATGGGAAAAAAAAAAAAAAAAAAACAAGATAAAGAGAATTCAATCTAAAGATGAATAGTAATTAGCTGCTTGATAAGAAAATGACACTTACGGGATTATCTTTCTAACTAAGTGACAGGCAGTGAAGTTCTCCAGTCTTTATTGTAACACAAGTGAAGAACATCTATTCTTCTTTTGCTCAACAAAGGTAAAGTCATATGTAGTTAATATATGAAGTGAGATAATAACAGCTAAGTTGACTAAGTTAGGCATACTGTACGCTAGGCATTGAGCTAAGCACTTTTCTATTACTTCTTTTAATATTCACAACAATCCTATGAAATAGGAACTTCTTTTAAAATCAATTTATAAGTCTGAGGGGCTTAGAGATTTTCCCAAGATCATACAGTTCTTAATCCTCCACAAAAGGATTTAAACCAAAGTCTGATTTGAAAGTTCATGCTCTCAATCACTATTATGCCATACTAGTTTTATGATATAGCTTATGGCAGATTTC